AGCACGGGGACTTGGAGCAGCTACTCAAGAAGGCGCAGAAGGACTACAAAGAGGACAATTCGAAACTGGCCGAGGACATCGGCAAGCTGTTCAGTGTGTTGGCTGGCCCCGAAGACAACTCCGACGACCTCGGGAAGGCATTGGCCAAACTGGCTGACGGCGCTTCGCGTCTCTTGGCCTTCGCGATTGCAGCTTCGGAGGTTCGGGCGATCATCAACAAGCAGAAGGCGTGGAGCAGGACGGTGCCCGAGCTCGACAAGCAGGCGCCCGGCATCCGTCGATGGGTGGCAGAGCCATCTGACGAAAGCCTCTGCGAAGGTCTGGCGCAGTCCCTGAGGAGCCTCTTCTACTGGGGCGGCTCAAAAGAGAAGCGGCGCTTTGGTGCGGAGGATGCCGACTCGGAGGCGAGCAGTGGCGCCGCCAAGAAGCCTCGCTTTGGTGGCTCCTTCCTTGAGAAGGTGAAGAAGTCGAAGAAGAAGGCCTCCTCTTCGTCGTCCAAGACCTCGGGCAAAGACAACAAAAAGAAGCATGCCAAGTCCGGCAAGGGCAAGAGGAGCAAGCCCAGCCGCTCCAGCAGCAGCTCGAAGCCGGGCTTTGCCCTCAAGAAGAAGGACGATGCCGACACGCTCCGCATGAAGAAAGAACAGAAGCTGCTGCACAACATCAACAGCATGCTGAAGAACAGCTTCGAAGAGGTCGATGAAGGTCAGTGCCTGACCATCAAAGGCGTCCAGCACAAGAATTGCTGCTTGGCATTGTCTGTGGCGAGAGCTGGCGCAGGCTTGGACGCCACCAGGACGGACGTGCACAAGCAAGCGGAGGCTTGGATCGAAGGCCTTCCCGACTACTTGGCGTGTGCAGTCAGCAAGAACGAGGCGAAGCCGGGCGAGACCCTGTTCGAGGACTACTTGAACAAGGTGGTTCAAGATGACGAGAGCATGATCACTTGCCTGGCGATCACGCACCAGAACATCACACGCGTGTGGACGGGAGCCCACGCGACCTTGGCCAACAGTAAAGTGCTCTACCTGAAGCATGTCCCGGGCCACTTCACGGCTTTGCTGGCAAGAGACGCGGATATCCCCACGGACAAGCTGCTGAAGGCTTTGCCCCCAATCCAAGGCTTTTCCTTTATCGGCAGCACGGAATTGAAGGACGAGATGTGCAAAGCACAGCAGGCATGAGCTCAAGGTATGCCTCTCTTCCACCAGTGCATATTCAGGATGTCGAGCATCTGCTGGCCGCGATTTGAAAAGAAGCTCTCTAAGCTAACTTGCAGTATTCTGAATGCACATCTTGACAGTCTTCACAGTAAGTAGCTATCATCGGAGCAGCAAGTCTACGCATGCTGCTAGCAGCGTTGCATGTCTGATGCCCATCTTGATGCTGAGACTGTACTGGTTTTGTTTCGAATCTCACGTGATAGCTCTTTAAAGGCGAAGTGTGGCGGTGCTGGCATCGGAACTACAGTACTCCTGGATTGTTGCATGTCTGCGTACTTTCGAAGGTAGCCATTGTACTTCAAGCCAGAAGTCGGGCAATCCCTCTAAAAGTTTTCTTCGCAGCATGGCGCCGGACGAGGACACGGTCATCATCGCGGACTCGGACGAGGAGATGTCCTCGGCGCGCGGCGAAGGTCCAGCTGAAGCCCAGCCCAAGCGCAAGCGAGGCTCCAGTTTTCAGCAGTGGGCACCGCACGAAGGCTTCGGCCTCTGTCGCGGCCTAGATGAACCTTGCACTCTGGGCAGCAATGATCAAGCGGCCCCTGCAGGACCCTGTGGTCTGTGCGACTTATGTAATATGGAAGACCTGGCCGATCTACATCGACATGGGCAAGGCCGCCTGACGCACTTGCTTCTGCAGCTGGCCGAGCCGAAGGCAAACGACGTCTTGGAGCGCATCGATCACATGGTCGGTGCAGGCATCGCCGAAGATCTACGCGGTCGCATGAGACGTGCCCATCAGAGGAAGTGCATAGATCGTCCTCGCCGAACACCGCGGGGTCCATACAAGAAGAAGCAGAAGCAAGCAAGCGCTCCCCGAGCCGGCATATGGCGAGCAGACATCGCCGGTGAAAGCATGGAGGAAAGCGTGCCGACTGTCGAGGAGCTTTGCGAAGTCGAGGACGACCTGACTGCCGAGATCGGCAAGCAAGCAGATGCAAACCTGGAAACCATGGAGTCGACGGTGCCCAAGGTTGCTCGCCGCTCAGCTCTGCGTCCTTCCAGCTTTGCACTTCCAGGGAAAAAGAGCGACACCGATCGGGGCGAGAAGAAGACGACTCAGAAGCACGACGAGGAACCGAGCAGCTTCTTCCCGAAAGGCACGGCAGACACCGAGAGCGAGAAGGCGAACAAGAACAGCCCCAAGACGTCTCTCCTCGAGAGGTCGTTCATGAAGACGAAGAAGCTCCAGAACCTGCTCGAGAAGATCAACACCATGCTGAAGGGCAGCTTTGAAGAAGTTGACGAGGGTCAGACCCTGACCATCAAAGGAGTCCAGTACAAGAACTGCTGCTTGGCATTGTCTGTGGCACGTGCTGTGGGAGGCCTGGGGACGAGCCGCACAGACATCCGCAAGCAGGCGGAGATTTGGATCACGGGCCTTCCCGACTATCTCAAGGCTGGGGTTGCCAAGAATGAGGCGAAGCCAGGCGAGACGCTATTCGAGGACTATCTCAATAAAGTGGTCCATGATGATGAGAGTGCAATCGTCTGTCTGGCAATCCCGAACCAGAACGCCACTCGCGTCTGGGCAGGGACAGAAGCGACCCTGGCCCGTAGCAAGGTGCTGTACCTGAAGTATACGTCCCAGGTCACTTCACAGCACTCCTGCCAAGGAATGCAGATTCCTCCACCGAGGAGCTGTTGAAGGCCCTGCCATCGGTGCAAGGCTTCTCGTTCGTCGGAAGCCACTGCCTGCAAACCGAGATGTGCAAAGCACAAAAGGCATGACACTTGTTACGCATTCTCTGCGGTCTGCAGGACTTGTCTGTCTTCGGCAACGATCTGAAGGATGAAATGTGCAAAGCACAGAATCGAAAGGCGTGAGCGCACGTCGAGCAGAAGCGCGCACGAGTAGCCGTGCCGATTGACACTCTGTCTTCCGCAGAAAAAAAGCGTTTTCGGAAGTTGTGGGGTTCCGTTTTCGGGGAGCGCGCCGGAAGATTTTCAGGCATGTCTGCGATATGCATGTGGCAGAGCTTGTCGTGACATTCGTTAGCTGTGCCCGACATTTGTGATCGCTGGGACAATTGCTTTCTAACAATCGGCAGCTGTGGGACTGAGACGAGCATGACTCTAAAGAATAAGATCCCAAACGACCGCGCCTGTGTTCGACGCTCTGAAGCCTCCGAAAAAGACGAAAAAGACTAAGGACCCAAAGAATAAGTTCCCGAATGACCGCGCATGTTTTGGAGGCACCTCAAGCCCTCAAAGCCCACGAAAAGCCTCGAGAGCCAGAAGGGTTCAAAGGGCTTGTTCTGGAAAGACCGCGTTTTGAAGGTGCCCGAAACTCTGAAAGACTCGAGAAACTAAAGATCGCTTGGACGGTATAAGTGCCAGAATGACCGCGCCTAATGTGGGGACCCCTCAAGCCAATGAAGCGTCGCCAGAGCACGTTGCTGATAGAGCATTTCCGAATGACCGTGCCTGCTTTGGAGGCTCGTCAAGCCCTCAGAGCCCTTCCAAAAACTCGAGAGGCTCAAGCTGGGCGCCCTAAACCCTGAACCCAAAGAATAAGTTCTCGAATGACCGCGCCTGTTTTGGAGGCCCCCGCAAGCCCATGAAGCGTCGCCAGAGCACTTCGGTAGAGGCAAAAGGGCGGTGCCAGAGCATTTCGGTGAAGGCAGGGGGGGGGGGGGGGGGGGGGGCTGCCAGAGCATTTCGGTGAAGGCAAGGGGGGGGGGATGCCAGAGCATTTCGGTGGAGGCAAGGGGGGGGGGGATGCCAGAGCATTTCGGTGAAGGCAAGGGGGGGGGGATGCCAGAGCATTTCGGTGGAGGCAAGGGGGGGGGGGGATGCCAGAGCATTTCGGTGGAGGGTGTTTACCTTTACAGGGAATGGCCTTGAACAGTATGCGTACAGGCACCCACAACGAGCCGACCCTCACAGGGTTCGGGACGCGAGTGAGACAAGCGCTCGCTGGCGCTCGGCAAGCCTCGCCCGCCACAGATGGTGGGCGGGAGGGCTCGGCTTAGACTTTAGGGTTTAGGGTTTAGGGTTTAGGGTTTAGGGTTTAGGGTTTAGGGTTTAGGGTTTAGGGTTTAGGGTTTTGGGTGGGTTTAGGGTTTAGGGTTTAGGGTTAGGGTTTAGGGTTTAGGGTTTAGGGTTTAGGGTTTAGGGTTTTTTAGGGTTTAGGGTTTAGGGTTTAGGGTTTAGGGTTTAGGGTTTAGGGTTTAGGGTTTAGGGTTTAGGGTTTAGGGTTTAGGGTTTAGGGTTTAGGGTTTAGGGTTTAGGGTTTAGGGCGGGTTTAGGGTTTAGGAGGCTTTTGTTTTGCTATTGCCGAGCGTGTGCTGCGAGCGCGCATTGGCGCATACCCAGAGGAGGATCTCAGCGCCCTCGAAATGGAGGAGCATACTTGATTCGGTCCTAAAATTCCTCTACCAGGGTTATGGTCCCAACCCTTTAGTGATAACTTCTATCCAATACGGAATCTTACCTCCTCTACGGCGTCCAGTAGCTGTTAGGAGGTTTAGGGGTTTAGGGTGTAGGGCTTATGGCTTGGGTTTAGGGTTTAGGGTTTCGGGTTTAGGAGGTTTAGGGTTCAAGCGGTTTAGGATGTTAGGCCCTGAAGCCTCTAGCAGAATGGGTTCCTGGTGAAGTGTTGTAGCTTTTGCTTCTTGTGTGTACCAAGGGGCTTGAAGTCGAAAAGGGGTTTAACTTGCTAGCTATTGGCCCTCTTGCCTCGAAACCCTAAATGCCTGACCCCCTCAATCCTAAACCCTACATCCCTAAACTCCAAATCCCTAAACCAAAACCCTAGACCCTTGAAAGTCAGGCCTCCGCACCCAGCTCGCGCTTGAAGTCGTCGCCGGCATTTCCCAAGTCCACCATCTCCTCCCCTGGCAGGCCGCTTTGCTAGGCCAGAACCTTGAAACATTGAACAAGAACTGAACCCCCAACCCTGGGAGTTGAGTTCGGGTTTGGGGTTCAAGGTTTTAGGGTTTAGGGTTTAGGGTTAGGGTTTAGGGTTTAGGGTTTAGGGTTTAGGGTTTAGGGTTTAGGGTTTAGGGTTTAGGGTTTAGGGTTTAGGGTTTCGGGTTTCGGGTTTCGGGTTTCGGGTTTCGGGTCTGGGCTTTGAAGATTTGGGATCAAAGGGGGGCTTGCGGCTCATGGCTTAAGGAACGTTGAGCTCTGAACCGTCCTCTCGGCGGGCAGGGGCCCAGTTCAGAACTTGCAGGTAAACCAAACCCTCAACCCTAATCGGCCGCAAACCCCAAACCCAAACCCCAAACCCTAAACCCTCAGCCCCCTGAACACGACATGCCCTCCAAACTCTAAGCCGGAACTAAAACTCCCCCAAAGCCCTGAAGCCCTGAAACCGCCCATGAAAACGGAGCAGCTTGCAAGGGAACGCAGTAAGCTTCCTGACCCTTTTCGTAACCTCAGCTAGCTGGGCTTATCCTCGTTGGTCCTCCTGGCGTGCATCCTTCTCTTCGGCCCAAGAGCCCCAAACCCTAAACCCTAAACCCTAAACCCTAAACCCTAAACCCTAAACCCTAAACCCAGCAGCTCTAAACCGGAGCCCCCATGGCCTTCTTCGAAGCCACGCTTCACCTCCGACGGGCGCAGGCGCACCCAAAGCCAAGGCTTCAAGGTTTCAGGGGGGTTTAGGGTTTAGGGTTTAGGGTTTAGGGTTTCGGGTTTAGGGTTTGGGGTTTGGGGTTTGGGGTTTGGGGTTTGGGGTTTAGGCTAATAGGGGGTCGGCGCTTGAGAATTGAAGCTCGGTTTTCGAGTCACGTGGGTTTAGGGCTTTCTTGCGGCATGAGAGACCCCCTATGCTGTAAGAAAGACTTGCGTCTGCACCAGGTTCCTCGGCAGTTGCCGCAGCAGTCAACCCTCCAAGGCCTACAAAAACCCTCGCAGCTGCCGTCACGATGCTCTCTAAGACTCACTGAGCACGGGCTGATGCAACTGGGTGCCCTGTGGCTGGGGCTCGCGCGTGCTCGATGAAGAGGTTGTGGTACACAGAATAGCTCCGGAAGCTAGCGTCGTGGTCGTGGCCAATCACCGCCCCGCTGTAGAAGCCTCACGCAAACTAGCACCGAAACTGGAGATCGTGCACCCCATGATACGAAGATCCCTGCTAAAGTATATGGGCCATCGACCCTCTTAGGGTTTCATTAGGGTTCAGGGTTTAAGCAGTCACAAAAGCAGGGTCTCGACAGTCTTTTTGCCCACTGCGTTCTGCGAGGTAGTCGTCGGGGCAGGTTGCCAAAGCCTGCACCAGTTTAAACACCAAAAGCTCCAGCTGAAAGTGTGGCCCAGTCCAACTGAAAAGCCACCCAAAAGCAGAAGTCAGCCGATACGGGCGGGAGGGCGGGAAGCTTGAGCGTGAAGACGGCCATCAACCAGCAGTTGAGACAGCTTATGGAGTCAAGCAGTCACAAAAGCAGGGTCTCGACAGTCTTTTTGCCCACTGCGTTCTGCGAGGTAGTCGTCGGGGCAGGTTGCCAAAGCCTGCACCAGTTTAAACACCAAAAGCTCCAGCTGAAAGTGTGGCCCAGTCCAACTGAAAAGCCACCCAACAGCAGAAGTCAGCACAACCACCTCGCAAAAGCAGTCATCCCACTACATCCACGCGAAAGCTATCGGTTTCGGCTGACAGCAGATAATACCAAGCCCGTCTGGGGATGCGGCAGGCATCCAAGTAAACAGCCCATTGCAAATAAACCGCAAAATTTGCGGCCAAAGCCTCCAGAGCAGCCCTCAACTCAGGAGCCAGTGAAGGAAGGAAAGTGGTAGCCACAACTTGCTGCAGGTATATGTCCATCACGCGGGACGACATCCAACGGCCACGCCTGCGCACCAACTCGCTGTTTTCTGTGGTTTGCAACATCCAGGTTGCACCTCCAGGCCTGAAAGAGCTTAAGTCAAACAAGGGTTTGGGCCCCTCGAAGAGCTGCAAGCGAGCCAAAAGGGCTCGGAGCCGTCGTCTCAGAGTCTCTGTCGAAGAGCACCACAGCTTTTCATGAGGAGCTCTGCCATCGAAAGCCAAAGTCAAGAGCTGAATAACATCAGGAGGGTCGATGCGAACAGACTGGTGCCTTGCTGCACGGCCTCGCGTTTTGGGAGAGCGAATAGCCAAAAGCGCAAACAGAGTGCCAGGCGCCGCATTGTGAGGTAGAACCAGATCTCGGCGCTCTGCGTTGACGGCCTCGCCGATTCTAAGCAGTCCGCACCAGGACAAGGCGAACAGCGCAGCTTCATCCACCCAACCCCAAGCCAAAGCCAAGGAAAGCAGGGCCAAGAGGATCCCTTTCGGTAAGGCCCGATGATGAACATGAGGCTCCTCTGACATCCAGGCGAAGGCAAGATCCCAGGCGTAGCTGATGTTCTTTCGAAGTGAGGGCTTTAAGCCAACCACAGCATTTATAGTCTCGCTGTACTTATAGTAGGGGAAGCCAGCTTTAAAGAGAGCATGACCATACGAGACAAGGGCCTCGGCGATAGCTTCCGAAGCTGCGACCCCAGGAGCAATCAGACTCTCGACGCACTGCCCTCGAACTTCTCCCAGCCACTCATCAAAGGCCTTCAGCAGCTTAGCCCTGTCGGTTCTGGTAGCTGGCCTCACAACTCGATCTGCCACCAGTAAAAGAGGGCCTCGCTTCGCAGCCCGAAGGTGCTCTGCAGGAGTCGAAGGGGCAGGGACTGCCATGGCTCGAAACAACACCCAGAAGACCCCGAACACCCTGAACCACCCTTCACCCGGGAAACCCAGAGTGGGATCGAAAGGCAGGGGAGGCCGAAGGGGAGAAGGGAAGGAGTCAGGAAGGGAAGAGGTGCAAAGAGGGCTGAGAATGAAACAGCGCTCAACTGGCACGGTCCAGGAGCCACATTTGCAGGCAAAGACACGCTGGGCGGAAGAGGAATGCAGAATGGGCGGGAGGGGCAAAGGCAAAGGCGCATAAACTGGTATGTTGAGCGTGCAAAGGCAGGCCAAGACGAAGCAGAGGCCTGCAAAGCACAAAGGCTGGAAGAAAGAATGAAGCTCGTTTCAAAGGAACACAAAAGGAGAAAAAGGCCAAAAACCCAAATGAGGCACTGCTGGCCTCACGAGCTCGAAAGCACGGGCGGCCTGAAGGCAAGTGGTGACGGCGGGGACGAGGGCAAACACTGCAAAGAGGGCCCTCACCTGGGTATCCGAGAGTGCTGTCAAACTCCCGAAAGTAGCCCCCAGGTTTGTCGGGAAGGTGCTCTGCAAAATGGCCGGCCAACCACTCAGCAAGTCTGGGGCAACTCCCCTCTTTTAACCTGGAGACAAGGAACAGCCGAGCCCAAGAGGCAGAAGCGGAGGGCCCCTATGCGATGAAGAACTGCGGCAGGCAGACTTTCACACAGGGCCAGGCCGGAGGCACGGGGCAAGACTGAGTTCCTGGTAGGGGCGTCGGCTACATTTAAACGAGTCGGCGCAAAGGCAAAACAGAGCTGCAGACCAAAGGCAAGAGCCAGCGCAGCAAGCCTGCAGACCAAAGGCAAGAGCCAGCGCAGCAAGCCTGCGCAGTCCAGGAGTCAGGGCCCAAGATGTGGATCGGCCCCTTGCGGCAGAATGCTTTGCAACCTGGGAGTCTATCAGGACGACAACTCGTGAGTCAGGGTATCGGATGGCTATGAGCCTGACCAGGGCCCCGAGAGCAGCAAGCTCAAGCACATTTATATGTGAGTTGGAGTGCCAGCGGAAAGCCAAAGTCACTGACCAAACCCTTGTCAGGAGGCAATCATTTGCCAGGAGGGACTCGATGCCTGGAACCTCGGGAGACCGGGAAGAGCAGTCTATGACCCCCCTAAAAGCAGACGCCAGTGCGAGGGAGAGGCCCTTACACAAAGGCAGCGAAGGATCCCCAAGGATCGGTCCCTCAGAGAGCCTGGGCTTGCAGAGACAGTCCCCTGCGGATGGTCCGAAGCTAAAGTGGCAAACAAGCAGCCTAAGGGGCCGGAGGGAAGAGGCTCCGAAGCAGCAGCTATTCAGGAGGATTTCCCCACAGCCAGGCTTCCCCCGCAGGCTCCTCCAAGGAGCAACCCTGGAGGCAAAAGACGCTTTTGGCACAGTCAGGACGGCAGGCAGGCCAGCCTTAAGAGCAAAGCTCAGAAAGAGCAGGCAGCGGAGGAGGGCTAGATTTCCCTTTTTGACCCGACCCTTTTTGACCCGACTATCAAGAAGAGTTCCCCTAAACCCTAGTGGAGCCTTATAACTGCGAAGCCTGGGCCGGAAGGCAGCGGAAAAGGTCCCAACAGGGGGAAAAAGGGCAAGCCCTTTGACTCTTCCCTCTCTTATCATGGAATCAAGCCAGGCTCCGAAGGCGGGTTGAGTATAGTCAAAGTGAGGGGAGATCTGAGAGTTCAGAACTGGACTGCAGACCAGACCTTTCAAGGAGCAGGCTTCAGCGAAAGATGCAGGGACATTGCCGATGAGCACCAGGTCGAAGAGGAAAGGAACAAAAGAGGGCTGACAGGTGGTCGGGCCGGGACCGGAGACGGGCCCCTCGTCCTCGATGTTGTCACCAGCACACTTGAGCAGGGCCCTTGCAGGCGAGTCCAAATGCACATGAAGGCGGTCACAGCTCTCCCAGAGAACCCTGGAGAGCCCGGGGTCAATAGCGGTCTCACAGGCAGCTCCTTTGGATAAGGACGCATCTGTGGCAAAGAGAGCCGGAGCAAAGGAGGCGCCCAAATCAACGGACATGAGTGGCATCAAGACGCTAGCTAGCGCCAGCTCTTGGCTGACAGCTCTAGGCAGAGGTCTGGCGACCGAGCTGGTCCGGCTGTCGTTTGCAGCAGCTCTTGAGACGCCAAAGACCTTTGAGAACACGACCATGGCTGCTCTCCTGAAAAGGGCAATGGAGACCCAGGAACCCACAAGCTTTGCAATCAGATTTGGCGTCGTGACACGGAGGCTGGCAGCCCGTAGACTCAGGGTAGCGACTGAGAGGTGTCTGGAGAAAGGAGCAGAGGCAGTTACAAGGCCTGTCCGAACGGCCCTTTCATCAGAGCACACCTCTGCTCCGATGGCCTGGAAGAGGCTCTCACCAAGGATGTCCTTCTCCTCCGAACCTAAGACCTCACCTTTGGAGTAAGCCTTGCAAGCAATTTGATGAAGCCTCTCTGCCTCGCACAGGCCTTTCCGAGGGGCAGCCCGAGGCTCAACGGAAATGCCAACGAGGTCGTCGATGAAAAGAGCCTGCCAAGTGGGGCCAAAAGGCAATGGACCCTTTCCAAGCAACCTGCTTGCTGGGGCGAGCAAGCCTGCTTGTTCAAGGAAACAACCATGCGCTTCCAGAGCGTATTCTACCCCTAAGTGGTCTCCCTGGTAACCCTGGTACAGAGACTTGAAGCAGGGCACGAAGGAAGTATCCAGCAAGAGAGGACGCAGATGCGAAGGCTCACCCTCCCAAAGTTCATTAAAAGCGCGTGTACCCTGAAGTTCGGAACCCTGAAAGGCGAAACACAAAGCGTTGCTGGCAGCCCTAGCATCAGAAACCTTGGCCTGGTGATAGAAGTCTTTCCTGTCACTTATGAAGGCCTTGCAGTGGTGAGTGAAGCGGGGCACTGAAAGGGCAGACAACAGGGATGCAGCAGGAAGGAAGGCCGAAGGTCCGGCCAGATGCATCTCGGATTTGTTAACCAGCCTTCTGTCAACAATTTGGCGATCCTTCTCGGGATTTTTGTAACTGTTGAAGACACGGGACTGGACTTGGGGGTCGACCTCACCACGACGTAGGTGAAGGAGGGACTGGGCATCCCACAGCTTCGCAAGTCCAAGCACATCATCACGTACCTCGTGGGCAAAGGAAGGCACATTGTCAGAGCTCATAGGTTTGCCATGTCTTAAAACCAAGGGTTCGACATAGGGGAGCCACAAAGGGCCCTCTAAGTAGGCCGCCAAGTCCCATTTCCCCCGGCCAGAAAGCTGGGGTCAAGGGCCCTGTAGGGCTGAAGCTGGGGGAGCTCGGACGATGCTTCAACACGAGGCACGGGGACAGAAGGCACGTTCTTCGCATAGCCTTTACCGTCAGCACCACAAGCAAGAGAGGCAAAGGCCTCCAATTCGCAGAGCCTGGCCAGAAGATCTGGCCCCGAACGCCCGGGTGGCAAGGGAACCTTGTCAGGCCGAGCATCACACGCAACCACAAATTTCCAGAGTCTATCGTAGACCAGGCTCTGGTGGCCGTTTGGAAACCTCCGCAGAAGGTCACAGGGGACCCAGGCAAAGCCGTGAAGATAGTTCAGGGCCAGGACAAGTACATTGACAAGCCTCCGACGTCTGAGTTGAGCCCACCTTGCCTTGCTTAGTCGCGGGCCACTGCCTTGGAAGACATCCTGGTGGGGGATGGGCAAGTGTGGCGGGTTGCGGAAGGCGGGCACTTGGGACCCCGCCGGCAGAAGGGCAAAATGTTGGCACACACACAGAAAGGCACCAAAAGAAGTACGGGATTTTGCTAGCCATCTAGGCAGCGAAGCAACCCAAAGGTCTGCGGTAATCGTGGTGGCAAGTTCACGTGCAACGTTTGCGACAGGAGGCGGTTCAGGCAGGCCTTCAAACTTGGCGCCAGCACACCCATGCAAGAGGGGGCCTTTCTTGGGAGATGGCCCTGGCAGCTGTCCAGAGGAGGGAGGGACACAAAGCCCTTGCTCGGTCACGTTACGTGAGGCTGAGGCTTCTTCTTTGGCTTTTTCTTTGGCTTGTTCCCCTCGACGGTTTCCCCTGCGGTGCCCTCGGATCCATGAGCCGAAGCCTTCGAAGCGGGCTTGCGATTTCGCTGCGACGATTTTGAATTGTCTCCATTTCCCGAAGAAAGCTGAGAGTAACGGTCACCCACCTTTGGCTTGCTAAAGGTGTAAACGTTCTGGTCCTGAGCATGCCCGAGGGCTGCCGCGGGATGTACATTGAGGAGGGGGGTTCCTCCAGGAGGGTCAGGTGGTAAGCCAACTCGCCCCGACCCCCGTCCATCATGAGCTGTTCCATGAACACCGCCAGCAGGGCTGTGTGATCCTGGGCCAGCTCTGTCCTCCCTGCCTGGAAAGCGTCCATGCGCAATTAGCGCGGCATCCCTTTGACCCCCCCAACCCCCAAACCTTTCGAAGTAGCGGGACAGACAAACCCCGCTGCGAAGAAGGGCCTGAGGGTCTGTCTCGGGGGACATGGATGGAAGCATTCTTCGGCTCATGTTTACCAACACACCCTGGAAAAACAACCCACGACCCGAAGCTAACTCTTCCTGAAGCCTTACCCTTTGAGTGGCGCCTCGCGTGCTGACAGAACTCTGGCCCAGGTCTAGCATGGGGTCGGACCCCTGAGCAAGCTGCCCTACGAGAGCCGTCAAAGGCTCGAGACTGCTCTAAGACCGCCTGAGCCAGGAATTGCTGCTTGAGTTTCGGCCTCCAGCTCTTCGAGCTCGGCCTGAAGCTGACCTGACGGTTCCATGCCGGCAGTCTGCATCTGCAGAGGTCTGGTTCCAGGAGGCGGGCCCAAGGAGGCAAGGAGGCCTTTCGGCCTCGGTGGCAAAGCAAGCTTGGGCGTCGCGCCTAGAGCCTGAGTTGGCAAGGGGGGCTCCGCGGCCGACGGAGCAGCCAAAGGCGCTGCAGCTCCTGCCGAGACCTGCTGCTCCAAAGACGCTAGGCGGCTTGTGAGAGCCGGCAAGGTTTGAGTGAGGATCTCTAATTGGGAGGCTGAGGCAGAGGTGGTGGGTCTTTTTGGCTTTGCTGGCTGCGATGCGGTAGGCATATCCGAGAGCCCGGCCCCTGGCAGAGCTCCTATGCCCGCGGGTGGTCTGTCCAACCGGAGGGTGGTCGGGCCTTCCTCGGCAGCAGAGTAGAAAGCAAGGCGATCCTGGGCTGACTCCAGACCTTGGGCCCAATCTAAAGCCCGAGCTAGCATGACACGGCTCCGGCACCGAAAGGTACAAGCAACTCGGGCTCGGCTCCTTCGGCCAACGCTGACAAGCGAGGGGCAGCAGGGGCTCCCATGTCCACGATGAGGGCTGACACTTGGCTTCCAGGGACCTGATGGACGGAGGGGCCTACCAACCTGACACCTGGCACGGTGACCACAAGAGAAGGGCCAAGCTCGTCGACCATACTGCCATCCTGAGCTGCGATTAGCTCTTGGGGGGGCAGTGCCAACAGGAAACCATGCTCTCTCTTGAGAAGAACGATGGCCGCACATTCCAAAATGCCACCGTCCACAGGATGCTCGTAGCACAGAAGGGCGGGAACATCTGAGAAAGGAGCCAGCTGCTCCATGGTTCTCAGTTCTCAGGCCCGGTTGCGTGGAAAGGTGAAGGCAGAGGAGACCGCACAACGCTAGCAAAGACCTGGACGGCCCAGCAGCCAGCTGTCCAGGCGCAAAGGACCCTATCTGGCCCACTCAAATTTGCAGACCCAGGCAAGGCCGAGCTGCGGCAGGGAAGGACACAGCCAAGGCCCCACGCGAGGGGGAAGCTCGTGGCCCGGAGGCCTGCAAGGGGTACGGCACAAAGACGTGACAACCTGAACTAGGGGGAGTCGAGGGACTAAACCCTAGGGTGCTAGAGGTGTGACCCAATGCAGCCGAATCCCAAAGCGAGAGGAGGCTCGGGGCCCGGAGGCCTGCAAGGGATATGCAGAAAGAACCGCCGGCTGGCAGAAGACACGGGACAACCCAAACTAAGGGGGTAGAGGGACTAAACCCTAGGGTGTTAGGGGGTGTGACCCAATGCCAGGTCGCAGAGAACGGGATAACCCAACCTAAGGGGAAAAGAGGGGCTAGCGAACCTTGAGGGATTAGGGGCGGGGCCCAATGCAAAGGAGCTGGCTTGAGCGACACCGCTGGCACTTGACGCCTGAAAGCTGGAGAATGCCAAAGGGGACGACGGACCAGGCAAGAGAAAGCCTGACTGAAAAGCTCGCAGGCAATGCAGGCTGAGCTCCAGTGGGCCCAGCTTGATTCCCCTGCGAGTGGCTGGGCAGTGGCTTCCGACAATGGACCCCGAAATGAAACCTCGAGCCCTCCTAAGTACGAAGTCAGAAAACCCACGGAAGGAAGGTCAGTGCCTTGCGTGCAGGTACGCTGCAAGCCTGGGATGCACAAGGCCAGGTGGCCTCACAGAGTTGGAAGGTTGACCCGGGGGCTGCAATGCGAAGCGACAGAAGAGGAGCCCGGCCAGCAATAACCCTGACAGCAAGCCAAGAATGTAAGTAAGAAGGCTCGTTGGGAGAGAAGAGGGAGAGCAGTAAAAGGGACAAGCAAGCCCGAAGAGATTACTCTGCAAAGCCTCCCTCAACACACGAAACCCAGCGAACCAAACCTCCATGAAGCTTGAGCGTGAAGACGGCCATCAACCAGCAGTTGAGACAGCTTATGGAGTCAGGGTGTAGGGTTAGGGGTTTGGGCTTTGGGCTTTGGGCTTTGGGCTTTGGGCTTTGGGCTTTGGGCTTTGGGCTTTGGGCTTTGGGGCTTGGGGTTTGGGGTTTGGGGTTTGGGGTTTGGGGTTTGGGGTTCATCTCCTCCAAGGCATGCAAGCCCCCCTGGCATGCAACGAAGCGACCCAGGATGCGCTCACCGCTCGATGCCAGAAGCACGGGCTGCGAACGCAGATGCTGCGCAAACGACTCCTGGAAAGTGCTGGAGCCGAAACCCCCAAACTCCCCAAACCCGATTTAAAGGGTTGTAGTCTAGGGGCCTGAAGAATTCGCGTCGGCTTCCTGTCGAGAAGGGTTTGGAGCAAGCAGACCCGGATCGGGCACGCAAAATTTTGTGGCGGAGCCCCCCCCCCCCCCGCCCTGTGGGACCCCCCCTCCCCATCCCTTGAAGGAGCTGCAAACCAATGCCCTGCGCCCTGGCTGTGAGACGGCGCGCGCATGAGGGAATACTATTTATTAGTAATTATTCCGACCCTATATTGGGGTTTAGGGTGAGGGGTCTCCATCCAGCCATGCGTCCTTGGTGTAGAACTGGCGATCCCCATTGTGCAGCATCGTCTGGCACAGGAGATCATAGCATCTCTCGATTGTGGCAAGATCCAAATGCTCCGGATCTTCCACTTTGACCTGGGGCCAAGGGCGAGGTCACCCCAAACACCCCAAACTCTCAACCCTAAGCCCCACATTCGGGTTTTGAGCTTCAGGTTGTAAGGTTTTGGATGTTGTCTCCAAACACCCGAAGCGCTCTGAAGAAGCCCTAGTTGCCCAATTCAAGCCCTAAACCCTAAACCCTAAACCCTAAACCCTAAACCCTAAACCCTAAACCCTAAACCCTAAACCCTAAACCCTAAACCCTACCCTGTAGCCCAAGCGGCGCTGTAGCCGCACTTCTCGGGCTGCTTGCCGTACCTTTCTCCGGGTTGTAGGCCTAGACCCTAAACCCTAAACCCTAAACCCGAAACCCGAAACCCTAAACCTGAGCCCTAAACCCTAAACCCTAAACCTGAAACCCTAAACCCTAAACCCGAAACCTTAAACCCCCTGAAACTCCCTCAGCCTCCCGCCTGCGGATCTTCTTGGCGTGGCTGGGCTTCAGGGTCTCCAGGTACTCGGGCCAGCTGCGGCCACCTGCGCGAGCGGTTTGTTCCGTTTGGGGTTTGGGGTTTGGGGTTTGGGGTTTGGGGTTTGGGGTTTGGGGTTTGGGGTTTAGGGTTTAGGGTTTAGGGGTTTTCTAGACTTCAGGATGTCGGGTTGGGCTCGCACGGGGTTTACAAGGCAGGTACAGGTTCCGAGTTTCGCACCCACCCCCCAACAAACCGGTTTGGGGTTTGGGGTTTAGGGTTTAGGGTTTGGGTTTAGGGTTTAGGGTTTAGGGTTTAGGGTTTAGGGTTTAGGGTTTAGGGTTTAGGGCTTAGGGTTTAGGGTTGAGGGTTGAGGGTTGAGGGTTGAGGGTTGAGGGTTGAGGGTTGAGGGTTGAGGGTTGAGGGTTGAGGGTTGAGGGTTGAGGGTTGAGGTTTGAGTGTTTAGGGTTTAGGGTTTAGGGTTTAGGGTTTAGGGTTTAGGGTTTAGGGTTGAGGATTTAATAAACGGACCACGTAGACAAAGACAAGCCCGAAAAACCCTAAACCGGCCTGGCTTGATGAAGTACCAATCCGTGACCTCCACGCGGATGGACAGCGGAAGCTCCTTCGCGACGTTGCTCAAGTCCTCCTGCACGAAACGAATTTAGGGTTTAGGGTTTAGGGTTTAAGGGTTAAGGTTTAAGGGTTGAGGGTTGAGGGTTTGGGCTTCGGACATTGGCTTAACCGTGTTCTGCTAGCAGCTTTCCGCGAAATCAACGCTCTACGAATGTCTTGGGCCTTCATGATTATGCTATTTTGAGATCCGACCCCACCCTCACTACGCCTTACCCAGGCCCAAATGACCCCTCCAGGAATGCCAGATCTGGGCAGTCCGACACCTCAACCCTACACCCGAAACAGAGCTTGAGCCCTGAGCCTAAGGCGCCCTTGCCCAACAGCCCCCAAACATGCAGTGGGGAGATATCCATGAAGACCAGGAGAGAAGTCTCTCGGTGCCCTCTTCCCTACACGGAACCCAACCTCCCACAGTAAATGTGTCTTAGATATTCGGGGCCGTTCTCTTTATCTGGAATCGCGCAACACACACGTGGCAGCACCCCCCCCCCCACAGGCAAAGAAAAAGCCCCGAAGATGACACCTAAAAGGAGTACACCGAAGGGAGCCGCCCTACCGATGCACCTACAATCGGGGTCGGAATAACAGAGTAAGCCCCAAAACCCTATTCTGATTGCGAAGGCCCGTAGGTGAATTTCGGATCAGCACATCTCAAAGTCACACAGAACGGCATTGCAGCATGCGAAGAGAGGGGCTGCAATCCTTGCACTTTTCTTGGGAATATTCGGGTTTAGGGTTCAGGGTTCGGGGTTTAGGGCTTCGGTCCAAGCCAAATCGAAGCCCGGTCGAGCCCTGAAGCCCTCTACCCCAAATCCCTGAAACTCAAAGCCCCAAAACCTAAACCCTCAACCCTCAACCCTCAACCCTCAACCCTCAACCCTCAACCCTCAGCCCTCAGCCCTCAGCCCTAGACTCTTGAAACCCGAACCCCCCAAAACACACGGCAAAACCCTCCTGCCTAAACCCTAAACCCTGAACCCTAAACCCTAAACCCTAAACCCTAAACCCTAAACCCTAAACCCTGAACCCTAAACCCGAAACCCCAAACAACCCATGTGGGCGTCCTGGTAGGAGGACGCCGAGGCGGGCCAGGGAATGAAATGCAGCGCGCCTTTGTCAATCCTGAGTCTGTCCCCGGAAAGTTGAGGGTTTGGGGTTTAGGGTTTAGGGTTTAGGGTTTAGGGTTTAGGGTTTAGGGTTTAGGGTTTAGGGTTTAGGGTTTAGGGTTTAGGGTTCCGGAAGTTGAGGGTTTGTTTCCCTACTTTGGAGTAGACCCTGGAAAAAGGTATATACATTTTAGGTATAAGGTATAAGTAGACACTATAGGAACCCAGAACCCAAAAAAGCATTCAAGCACAGTACTCCAAACCCTAACCCGTAAACCCTAAACCCTAAACCCCAAACCCTAAACCCTAAACCCTAAACCCTAAACCCTAAACCCTAAACCCTAAACCCTAAACCCTAAACCCTAAACCTAAACCCTAAACCCTAAACCCTAAACCCTAACCCTAAACCCTTCAAAACCCAGCTTTTTATCCGGAATCAGCTGAGCGCGAGATCACCCTGCGGAAGTGAAACCTATCACACCCACCAAGTTGAGGGTTCAGGGTTTTAGGGTTTAGGGTTTAGGGTTTAGGGTTGAGGGTTTAGGGTTTCGGGTTTAGGATTAGGGTTTAGGGTTTAGGGTCTAGGGGTTTGGGATTTATAGGCATCCTTAAGTAGATAGAATATTTGAAAACTCCGAAAAAAAACAAACCTTTCCAAAAGGAGAGGTAGAGTATCCAAAAAAACGCCCCCAAAACGATAGATAGAGTATCAAAAAGCCCCCAAAACGATAGATAGAATATTGGCCTAAAGCTTGGGGGCAAGAGGCGCCCTGGGGGGCCGCGGTTAGCCATATTCAATACCCCTAAACCCTAAACCCTAAACCCTAAACCCTAAACCCTAAACCCTAAACCCTAAACCCTAAACTTAGTGAGGGGTCGCTTCCGTCGAGCGACAGACCCCGAACGCTCGGCCGAGGGCCTTACAGCCCGAGCGCCCAAGCGAAAAGAGAAACGGAAAGGTGAGGGTTAAGCCTCACCGTCTGTCCTGGACAGGCCAACGGACATCGGCCTTTTTTACGACAACGTCAGTACTCGGCTAAGGGATGGCCGGCACCCAGACCACCTTTAGCGTAGCTAAAGTATAACCCCAAATCGTCCCCCTTTGCGGTTCAGGGTTTTGGGTTCAGGGTTTGCCGGCCCCCCCCCCCGGGGGCCCCCTGCCACTGGTAGCTGGATTCCTGGACCAGGAGGCTGGCGAGGGGGTCCAGGCAGCACCAAGGGCCCCCCCCCGGCCAAGGAAGGGCCTTCCGGGCCAAGGGCGAAGGGCCCCCTACCCCCCGGGGCCAATAGCCCCGACCCAGGGCCCCCCGGGCCGCGGGCCAAGAGGGCCAAGGGCCGAAAAGGCCAAGGGCCCCCCTAAGGGCCCCCCGGGCTAAGGGTTCCCCGGGCCAACCCACTAAAAGAAGGGACTACAAGATTTGTCCGTGCCCACAATGAAAAATGCGATTTTTGGATATTGAAAACATTGTTTTTAGGCACCCCTGCCCGCAATGAAAAATGTTCTTTTTTTAGTACTGAAATCGATGGCTCCCCCCAAATCAGCAAGGACCTCTACGGGCCCTGACGCGCCGAAAGCCCGAAAAGGACCGAGGCTACCCCGAACCCCAGCCTAAACCCTAACACCGCAAAACCCTACGCTGCGAAGGCCTTCAAGCAAATAAGGGCCTCTACGGGCCCTAACTTGCCGAAGGCCCGAAAAGGGCCGAGGCTACCCCGAACCCGAGCTTAAACCCTAGCGATTGAAATACTCGTTGGCGAAAAACTCAGCCCTTAAAGAAGGGGAATCCAGGAGCAGACACAAAGGGTTTCCCTGACCTTCAAATAAATAAAGGCCTCTACGGGCCCTGATACGCCGAAGGCCCGAAAAGGGCCGAGGCTACCCCCAACCCCAGCTTAAACCCTAACAGCGCAACTTTAAAAACATCAAAGCAAGCATCAGAGCACAAGAAAATAAATTCCATAAACCCTAAACCCTAATAGAGTATAGTTTGGGTGGCCGGGGTGGGTTGACGGGCAACGCGAGCGCGCGGCCCGGGGTGTTTCACACCCGAGCGCGCGCCCTCCCCTGACACACCCTAAACCCTAAACCCTAAACCCTAAACCCTAAATAGGCTCTCTTCGGGGGGAAGGCGCATCCTCTCTCTGCTCCGCTGCTCCTCTGCTCCTCTCCTCCTGCTCCTCCTTCTCCTCCGTCTCCTCCTTCTCCTCCTTCTCCTCCTTCTCCTCCTTCTCCTCCTTCTCCTCCTTCTCCTCCGTCTCCTCCTTCTCCTCCTTCTCCTCCTTCTCCTCCTCTCCTCCTCTCCTCCAAGAAACCAAGACGCCAAGAGGTGTGCAGGAGGCCGCCAAACTGGCGAAGTTTCGGGGTCCCGAAAATGTTCGATGTATGGGTTTTCAAATATGCTATCTAGGGGCTTCAAGATTCTATCTATGGGTTCCTCAAAAAAACGTGGGAAAAACGCCCCAAAACCCCGAGAGTTTCCGAAAACCAAATTCCATCTATTCAAGGATGACTATAAGGTTTCGCTGTTACTTACATGGTTCTAGGGCTATGGAGTTGAGAGGCGCATAGGGCATAGAAGGTGTTAGGCTCAAGGTTTGGGGACGCCAGGGCTGAGTTAGGGCGTACGCTAAATCCTGCCCCGGAACCCTGCAGTGGTTGAGGGCTGAAGGGTGCGTTTATTAATCTGAGGGTGTTTAGCCTTTGGGGTTTAGGGTTTAGGTCGCAACTTGGGATGTTCCCCCTTGTACAAACAGTCCTTAATAAGGATTCTAGTAGAGGGGGTACTACAATCCCAATTAAGGACTGTTCGTAGGGGGAACATCCCAACCCTAAGCCCTAAGCCCTAAGCCCTAAGCCCTAAACCCTAAACCCTAAACCCTTAAGGGTTCGGGGTGATTAGCCCAAGCATCTCGCCGATGGCGTCAACATCCAGCACTTGCCGCACGCGCACAGGGAAGCTGAAGTAACTGTAGACCTTTTAGGGTTTAGGGTTTAGGGTTTAGGGTTTAGGGTTTAGGGTTTAGGGTTTAGGGTTTAGGGTTTAGGGTTTAGGGTTTAGGGTATCTCAAAACCCCTATGAGACCTGAAGACCCCCTAGAGCCCTAAAACCTCCCCAACCCGAAAAACAAACCTAGAACCCCCGTAATCCCTCACCCCTAAACCCCCAAACCCTAAAACCGACCCCTCAACCCGGAACTGACGCATGACCCCCCACGTGAAATGCCAGTCTGGCGCAGAAACAAAACCCTAAGCTTGGGATGTTCACCCTGATACTAACAGTCCTTAATGGGGACTACAATAGGGGGGGGAGTGTTCACCCTGATACTAAAAGTGCCTAGTAGGGTTAGGGTTTAGGGTTTAGGGTTTAGGGTTTGGGGTTTTGGGTTTAGGGTTTAGGGTGTAGGGTTTCGGGTTTGGGGCTTAGGGCTTAGGGCTTAGGGCTTAGGGTTTCAGGTTTAGGGGTTTAGGGGTTTAGGGGCTTAGGGGCTTAGGGGTGTATTCAAGCATGCGCGAGGCATGCAAAGATCTCTAGGCTTGAGTTCCGCCGAATTTAGGGGGTTAAGGGGTTCAGGGGGCTCAGGGGGCTTAGGGGGATAGGGGTTTCGGGTTTCAGGGTTTGTGAGGGTTTGTGAGGGTTTGTGAGGGTTTGTGGGGGTTCGGGTCGCACCGAACCTTCTCCAACGGAGCTCCCATCAAGGCGCATCTGGTAGTCAGGCGGTCATGGCGCAAATCAAAGTTTCAGCGTCTTCGCGTTTGGGGGGAGGTTTGGGGCTGAAGGCTTGGGGCTTCAGGGTTTAGGGGCCGGTTCGAGGGTTAAGGGCTTCTAGCCTGTTTAGGGTTTAGGGATTAGGGTTTCGGGTTTCGGGTTTAGGATTTAGGGTTTAGGGTTTAGGGTTTTGGGTTTTGGGTTTAGGGCTTAGGGTTTAGGGTTCCTGTGGTTCTGCCAGAGCTGCTGCAGAGGTCCGCGCCCACAAAGAGCCACAACCATGCAAAAACCAGCTCTGCAAACCAAGCCCTGGATCCCTGAAGGTGGTGTTTCGGGTTCAGGGTTCAGGGTTCAAGGTTTAGGGTTTAGGGTTTAGGGTTTAGGGGTTTAGGGTTTAGGGATTAGGGTTTAGTGCCTAGGGTCTAGGGCTTAGGGTTTAAGACGTGCAACATACCTTTACAAAGGCCCGAAGCGCCTTTTCAGCACCGAAAAAATGGAAACCACCAACAGAAGCCTGAAGACCCTCGAAATGCCTGTACCAAGTACCTCAAACTATCTTGCTAAGATCCCCAAAGAGAAACAAAACCAAACACCTCTTCTTGAACCCACGTTTGACAAATTAGAGGTCTCTGTAAAGAAAACCCGAAACCTCAAACCCGAAGCCCTAAAACCGCAAAATAGCCCTAAACCCCAAACCCTCAACCCTGAACCCCAAAATGAACCCTAAACCCTGAACCCCAAAACCCGAAAAACAACCCCCAAGTCCAGGGGAATGCTGGGGTCACCACAAAGCTTGGGAGCCTCGGCTTCACCGCAGGCTTTTCAGGTTTCCGGATTTCCGGGTTTAGGGTTTAGGGTTTAGGGTCTAGGGTCTAGGGTCTAGGGTCTAGGGTCTAGGGTCTAGGGTCTAGGGTCTAGGGTCTAGGGTCTAGGGTCTAGGGTCTAGGGTCTAGGGTCTCGGGTTTAGTTTAGGGTTTCGGGTTGAGGGTCTTGGGGCTTGAAGGGCTTAGGGGCTTGAAGGTAGGGTCGAGGGGCTTGTAGGGTCTGGGGTTGAGGGTTTAAGGTTTCCAGGGTCTTGCGGCTTGGGGTTTAGGGTCTCCAGGGTTTAGATTAAACCCGAAACCCTTAACCCTAACCCTAAACCCTAAACCCTAAACCCTGAACCCTAAACCCTAAACCCTAAACCCTCAGCAACAAAAGTGCTGAGGCGCTTCTTGTGGAACTTGCAGATCTGAGAGAAGCTGAGCACCGCCTCCGGAGGGCAAGCACTAGAGGGGCCTTCGTAATTAGAACAGGGTGTTGGGGTTGTTGTAGTATGTATATCATATATGTATATAGATATATATATATATATACATATATATATATATATATATACAGGGGCCATAAAAGGAAGTTATTATAGTTTATATATATATATGTAGCAGGCAAAAAAAGGAATACTATGAATAATTATTCCGACCCCGATAGCCTAGGCCCCGCAGCATCCCGGCAAGGGTTTGGGGCTCCCAAGGCTAACCGGGCTGTTCGGGCTGCAGGGTTTACAGGGCTTGCAGCGCTTTTTAGGGTTTAGAGGGTTTACAGGGCTTCATAGGGTTTAAAGTTATAGGGTTTTAAGGGTTTAGAGGGTTTAGAGGGTTTAGAGGCCTTAGAGGGGTTTAAGGCTTCAGAGGGTTTTAGCGGTTCGTAGAGGCTTAGGCAGCCACCCACCAAGATCCTTGGCTTAGGGAAAGGGGGCTTCGGCCCGAACGCCCGGCTTCCGTCCTGGAACCACCCTACTTCCCTGATTCGCAAACCGATCAGCCCTCAACACTTTAATCCCTGAACCCTAAACCCTAAACTCTAAACCCTAAACCCTAAACCCTGAACCTACTAAGACCAGATCGCTGCGTAACCCCAGGGAGACCTCCCAGCCCTAGCGCAACACTGCCCGTTCCCAACTGTTGCACAGCGTCCCTGCAATGCGCGAACCACAGTAATTTAGGGTCTAGGGACCGCATCGCATAAGTCCTGAAGGCAACAAAAGCCTAAACCCTAAACCTAAAACCTAAAACCTAAAACCTAAACCCTAAACCCTAAACCCTAAACCCTAAACCACAGCCTACACCGAAAACTCACCAAAAGAGAGCACCCCGGGCCGTCAAGAAGAGCGGGAGCACTGCAAACTGCCTGACCTTGGGATGGGGTTATATGGGGTGATAAAGGGTTTAGGGTTTAGGGTTTAGGGTTTAGGGTTTAGGGTTTAGGGTTTAGGGTTTAGGGTTTAGGGTTTAGGGTTTAGGGTTTAGGGTTTAGGGTTTAGGGTTTAGGGTTTAGGGTTTCGGGTTGGTTTGGGATTTGGGGCCCCGGATGCCTAAGCCCTAAACCCGAAAAAAGCTTCGGGTCTCGGTGTTGGCTTTGGGTGCGTGCGGATTCATTCAAGCCAGGTGCCCCCCTTGACAGGGTTTAGGGTTCAGGGTCCCCAAACCCTGAACCGTAACCCTTCGGGGCAAAACCCTAACCCTACACTCCTGGTGGCTGAAGTTGGCAAGTCCCTTCACCACCAAACCCTAAACCCTAAACCCTAAACCCTAAACCCTAAACCCTAAACCCTAAACCCTAAACCCTAAACCCTAAACCCTAAACCCTAAACCCTACACTCCTGGTGGCTGAAAGTTGGCAAGTCCCTTCACCACCAAACCCTTCGGGGCCAAAACCCTAAACCCTAAACCCTAAACCCTAAACCCTAAACCCTAAACCCTAAACCCTAAACCCTACACTCCTGGTGGCTGAAAGTTGGCAAGTCCCTTCACCACCCAAACAAATGCCGCCGAGCCTTCGGGTGAAGACCCGGCATGAGAACCGTCGCAGACATGATGGGCATGATGCCTGAAGGCTTTCGGGGTTTTCTTGAGGTTCTTGGGGTTTGGGTTCGGGGTTTGGGGTTTGGGGTTTGGGGTTTGGGGTTTGGGGTTTAGGGTTTAGGGTTTAGGGTTTAGGGTTTAGGGTTTAGGGTTTAGGGTTTAGGGTTCTTGCGGTTCTTGCGGTTCTTGCGGTTCTTGGGGTTCTGGGGGTGCCTTTGCTTTTGGGGCTTCTTGGGGGCCTTCAACTCGGACCCTTAAAGCTCTTGAAGCCACGACGAGGCCTACATCATCCAGCAGCACGTTGTGCATGTAGGCCTTCGTCATCTTCAGCCCATACCTTGGCTGCACTTAGAAGGGTGGCTATAAATTCAATTTTTGGCTGCCTTATTAAGAAACCCAATGAACCCAAAAAGGCTAAGGATCTAAAGTTACGGTAAAGCACCACAGAGATACCTGCAGCTTAGCTACGACGAAGTTTTCAGCCCCGACGCCACGAAACGTAACCCGAAGAAAAGCCGAGCACCTTCCGTTTACTAACTTAGAGACTGGGATCGAGGGTTTAGAGTTTAGGGTTTAGGCATTAGGGGCTGGAGTTTGAGAGAGGGGGTTTAGGGTTTCGGGTTTAGGGTTTGGGGTTTAGGGTTTAGGCTTAGGGTTTCGGGTTGAGGGTTTAGGGTTTAGGGTTTAGGGTTTAGGGTTTGGGGTTTGGGGTTTGGGGTTTAGGGTTTAGGGCTGCTCAAAACCAAGCCACCCACAACCCTTAACTTTCTTCCCAGGAGGCTTGGCAATGATCTCCAAGAGGAAGGCCCCCACCTGACTTCTGGGAGGATTCATGCGTTTAGGGTTTGGAGCTTTTAGTGTTTAGGGCTTAGGGTTCCGGATTTAGGGTTTAGGGTTTAGGGTTTTGGGCTTAGGGTTCAGCATGCCTAGGAGGGTTTGCGGTTCTTGGGTTGGGGGTTTCGGGTTTAGGGTGGATCTCATTCTCAAAGCTGCCTGTAAAGGATGTCTTGCTGCCCATCCCCTAAACCCTAAACCCTAAACCCTAAACCCTAAACCCTAAACCCTAAACCCGGCAGGGGAGCTGTGGGTTGCTTTTAGGGGACAATGTAGGGGTCGGAACAAATACTACGTTCCCTTATGGTCCCTTCATAAATGTGCTATGAGAACCCCCCAAAACCCTTTTCGAATTGCTAAGGCCCTTATATAAGGGCTTTGTCAATTAATTGTTCTCTATTTTTGTTTGTGTTTTTTTTCGTGGGGGGATGTGCTGTAGTTGTTCCAACTAGGGCCCCTTACAAGAATACTTCTGTAAGAAAGCATCTTAACCCTAACACTAAATGAGCGACGCCTATGGCCTGTGTGCAAGTAAGCCACCAGAATGATCACCACCTGGTACGCGGGGAAGACGCCTGAGGCAAGAGGCTCAGAGACACATGCACTGAACCTCAAGACTTGGGTTTAGGATCTAGGGTTTAGGGTTTAGGACTTAGGGCTCAGGTTTTCCAATCCAGGCCTCACTAAAAGTCCTACTCAACCCCTAAAAACCGCACACCCCTCAAGCAGCCCCGAACATCCTAAACCCTCTAAAGCCCCTCTGAAGCTCCCTAAACCTTAAACCTCCAGAAGCCTAAACCCTCGGCCCTCAGCTCCCAAAACTTCTTAGGTTTAGGGTTTATAGGGTTATAGGGATATAGGGTTATAGGGTTGTAGGGTTATAGGGTTCTAGGGATATAGGGTTAAAGGGTTATAGGGTTTAGGGTTTAGGGTTTAGGGTTTAGGGTTTAGGGTTTTGGGTGTTTAGGGCTTAGGGTTCCGGATTCAGGGGTTCGCGACCTGCCCAGCCGCCCACAGCCATGGCTATGGCGACAGCATAAGCCCCAAAGCAGATCGTGGACTTTTGGCCTCGTGCTTTGGGGTTTGGGGTTTAGGGTTTGGGGTTCAGGTTTAGGGTTTGGGTTTTAGTTTAGGGTTTAGGGTTCAGGGTTTCGGGTTTCGGGTTTAGGGTTTAGGGTTCAGGGTTCAGGGTTCAGGGTTCAGGGTTTAGGGTTTAGGGTTTAGGGTTTAGGGTTTAGGGTTTAGGGTTTAGGGTTTAGGGTATAGGGTTGACGCTTGAAGTGAAGAACTAGGGTTTACGGCCCCTTACACTAGCAGTCCTTTATAGGGACTCGAGTACCCCCGATGATCATCCCTATTATGGGCTGTTAGTGTAGGGGGGAACATCCCAAATTACAGGGTTTACAGGTTAGGGGTTTCTAGGGCGTCTCGAGTTACCAGAAAGGGTTTATAGGGCTTCTGGTGCCTCCTGAGTCTATCGGGCGTATAAGGCTTCCTACACCCTAAGCCCTAAACCCTAAACCCAAAACCCTAAACCCCTAAACCCCAAAACCCTAAACCCTAAACCCTAAGCCCTAAACCCTAAACCCAAAACCCTAAACCCCTAAACCCCAAAACCCTAAACCCTAAGCCCTAAACCCTAAACCCTAAAGCCGAAGGGAGAAGGTGCCAATGTCGGTGTTGGGGCCCGGGGGTTGAAGTAGGGCCGGGTGCAAACGCAGAGTCGAGACCTCCAAGCAACTTCCCAGGCCGGATCTGCTTTGCAGGGTTTAGGGTTTAGATCTCGGGTTAGGGTTTCGGGTTGAGGGAACCTAAACACTGAACCCTAAACCCTAAACCCTAAACCCTAAACCCTAAACCCTAAACCCTGAACCCCCAAAAGCCCCCCACCAAACTGCGCAGCCGAATGTCCCAGGTGGGACCACCGGGACCCGTCGTGGTAGATTCCCTTGGGTAGCGGTCCCAGTTCCTTCGAAGGTCAGGAGTTAGGATTTTAGGGTTTAGAGTTTCGGGTGTAGGGTTTAGGGTTTAGGGTTTAGAGTTTCGGGTTTAGGGTTTAGGGTTTAGGGTTTAGGGTTTAGGGTTTGGGACTTTAGGCCTTCGGGGGAGGGCTTTCTATAGGAGCTTTCAGTTGTTAGGGTTTAGGGTTTAGGGTTAGGGTTTAGGGTTTAGGGTCTAGGGTTTAGGGTTTAGGGTTTAGAGTTTCGGGTTTAGGGTTTAGGGTTTAGGGTTTAGGGTTTAGGGTTTAGGGTTTAGGGTTTGGGACTTTAGGCCTTCGGGGGAGGGCTTTCTATAGGAGCTTTCAGTTGTTAGGGTTTAGGGTTTAGGGTTAGGGTTTAGGGTTTAGGGTCTAGGGTTTAGGGTTTAGGGTTTAGGGTTTAGGGTTTAGGGTTTAGGGTTTAGGGTTTAGGGTTCAGGGTTCAGGGTTATCTGCTTTATGCGGGGCTTTCAGTTGTGTTGGCCTTTCGGCTTGTTACCGGGTGTTGGGTTGTTTTGAGTTGTGCTGTGGGTGCTTTGAGTTGCTGGGGTTTTTTGGCTGTTATGGCGGGGATTCGAATGGGATGTTTTGCTCTGTCTTTTGTGTCTATTGCATCTCTTCTGGGGAGATGTTCAAACAACCCCCAAAGCCTACAAACAGGTCAGGAGCACCCAAGTCGCAGGGTGTCATTCGGATGATTAGCATGCGGTTGATGAGGGTTTAAGTTAGGTGCTCCAAAGGTTGATAAGGGTTTAAGGTTTAGGTTGAGGGTGTAAGTTAGGTGCTTCAAACTAGTACTTGGTGAAGGCCTGCTCTCTTGAAAGCCGCTTGCGGTCTCATGCTTAGCTCCGCGGAAGTCGCTGGTCGTCCCAACCAGCTTCGCGGGCTCCGCAGGACTGCGGGCCGAGAGGCACCGAGATTGTACATGGGCCTTGTGGCCTGCAGAGGCTGCGGACGGGAGGGAGGGGGAGGAGGAGGAGGAGGTCGGATCGCTACGACGTAAACTCGCCTTCTCTCCCCCCCCCCCTTCAGGTGATTACTGCGGCGCTGGCTTGCGCAGCGCCGAGCCCGGGAGAAGCGGAAAGCGGCCAGCTGGCCGTCTCTGGGACGCTTCCCGTGGGGCATGTTGTGTGAGTATGTGTGCGTATGTGTCTGTGTGTGTGTGTGGGGGGGGGGGGGGGGAAGGGAGAGGGGTTTAGGGTTGAGGCTGTTACAAGATCTATAGAGATAAAGATGTGGGCTTAGGGTTCAGGGCCTGGGTTTACAAGGTGTCGGGCGTTGGATTGCAGCCCCAACAACCGGCCAAAGCGCCAATCACAAAGCAGTGGCTGCCATGCTCAATTGCACGGCCCCTTACACTGGGATACTGTGCCCTAAGAGGGGACCATACTGAAAGGCTCAGGGAACTTGGTAAAGTGCGGATAACCCAACTTGCGTAGCCTGCTCAGTTCCCTGACCCCTCAGGCAATGTAATCAGCGGACCACTCAGAGGGCCTTCTGCCCGTGCATGCTTAGGAGGTCTCCACGTGCCACATCTCCACGGAAGTCTCGTAGGGGACGTAGAAAGGGTTCCCCACCTCTGCCTCATGGGCCTCCTCCAAGGTGTTGATCCACGGGTGGCCACCGCGCGTGGTCGCAACGTGCTCAGAGGCAATGTTGTGGCCAAGGTTCCAGTACTTTGCATGCTCCTCGCCATCTGTGCTCTGAGGTGGCAGGCCGACCACCGAAAGAACACCGACGGTGAAGAAGCCGCGGCAGTCGTTGCACCAGAAATTCTCCGACAGGTGGTTTGCCAAGGCGGAGGAGGCTGCCACTGCGTTCCTGGACATCGGGGAGGGCTGGTTGTGCATCACAAAATGGATCAAGCTCCACAAGAGATTTGGCCGATGGGTCCAAGATCCCACGAGAGCAAGCGCCTCCGCGATGCCGCCGTCCCTTTCCTCGCCAGCCGCACACGCCTCTGCGCTCAAAGCTGCCAAATCGACACCTGTCTGGTGCCACATGTTGGCGTAGAGATCGTCCAGGGATGGGCATGGGCCGATGAGGTGCGAAGGCCAGAGCGCCTTGAAGATGTTGTGGGTGACCTTCCTGACTTCTTTCGTGAAGGGAGCCAGAGGTCCCGTCCAGTACTTGCAGTGCATGGCCGATGCCACCTCGCCTGGAAACATCAGGAAGGCTGTCTGCAAGGACTCCACAGCCCACTGCCGGTTTAGGCCCGGTGCCTGCATGGAAGTGCGTGGGCAACGGGAGCTGTCCCACCAGGGCCCGGCGTAGCACACGTCCCGTGGCCGCTCTTGCACGCACGTGGAGGGCAGCACGTCGAAGTCGGGGCCCGTGCAAACCAGGCCAGGGGCACAGGCAAGGGGCCGCTCCATGGTGCCACCGTGGGGATATGGTGCCGCCGCCCTCGTCTGTGCCCGCCGCACGAAGGCGTTGGCGAAGCGCCCATGCGTGGCCAGCGTGGGGATGCAGCTCTGGCCTTCCAGGCGGTACTTGACACAGCGGCCGTGGGAGGGCTTCCAGAGCTGGTGCTCAGCGTAGCCCTCGAGCTGGATGCCGTTGGCCACGCCCACCGTCGAGCTGCCGCAGATCCTGTCTCGGGTCAACTTCAAGGCTTCCACCGTAACGTTGCCATCGTTGTCCCGAGCTGCAATCGCCTCGATGTCCGCATAGTATTGCTCACCACACAGCTCGAAGTTGGGAGTGTGGCCTCCCTTGCCCGTGGCCCATGCGCCCCACTTCTCGTGTGTGATGACCATGCACCACTCATCCGCTGCACATGCGTTGCGGTCAAAGTAGCAGTCGACAACCGGCGGAATGGGGCACTCCCAGTTGTCGCAGTGCATCTTGATGAGGTCGCCCTTCCGAGCCACACGCACTCGATCACCATCGGCATAGACGAGGTCCATAGAAGCTTTGCTGCAAGCCGTCGTGAAGGGGTTGGCGTAGTACATATGCCCGGCCGCGCCATTGTACTTCTCTCGGCCGCACCGCGGAGGGAAACTCTCTGAGTCGCTCTCGTCCGTGCCGTTCTCGGCTGCGCTGAGCGTGCGTCCGCCCAGGGCCCTGCTTGCTTCCAGGCCCTGCAAGTCGCGTGCTTTTCGCACGGCGGGAGACGCCAAGGCCCAGTACTCGCTGGGCGATGCCAGGCATGTTGCGAGGAGGGCGAACACTGGGAGCAGCGACACCATGGTACGGCTGGGGTTCCAACAAACTCCGATCTAGGAGTTGTTCTTCTCTATTTCAAGGGTTACCTGAACACTTTCTGGAAGCAAAGAGAGGGTTCTGACTTATAAGGTTGCATCTGCAGGTATCAGCCCTTCCCATCTCCTACTTTCACGAACACATTCAACACACGATCCACCTGATGCAGGTTTGCCAGCATTTTGGGACGGAGGGTTTCTATGTAAACCCGTTTAAACCCTAAACCCCAAACACTAAACCATAAGATGCACCTGACAGTACGGAGGCAGGCCGGGCCGGAACATGTCCAACGCTGCTCCACCTAAGAAGGATATTTATACATCCCAGGCCAGACCCTAAAAACCCTAAACCCTAAACCCTAAACCCTAAATCCCAAACCCCAGATCCCAAACCCTAACCCCTGAACCCTGAACTCTGTACCCGAGCGCAACCGCCTGGACTACCCACATCCCAAAACCCTCAACCCTACGATCACGAAACCCTGCAGACCCTAGTCCTAAGTACTAAGTAATAGTAATAGTAATAGTAATAGAACCATGAGCCATCCAGGGCCTTTTGCAGAGAACCCAAACCCAGAGACTCTGAGGGTCTAGGGCTTAGGGTTCTTTCTGAAGTCACGGTACGGAAGGTCGATTGAGTTCCCTAACCCCCTCAACAAGGGATGAGGGCACCAGCAACAGAAGTAGCAGATGAACCCAGGTCGTCAAGACAGAAGCCCTGAACCGGTAAACAACAAAAATAAACACTATTAGTGACTATTAGGCTGTCTCACGAAGCCCAGCCCGAACCCCAAAGCCTAAATTCTAAGCTGCGAACCCAAACCTTAGGGTTTAGGGTTTAGGGTTTAGGGTTTAGGGTTTAGGGTTTAGGGTTTAGGGTTTAGGGTTTAGGGTTTAGGGTTTAGGGTTTAGGGTTTAGGGTTTAGGGTTTAGGGTTTAGGGTTTAGGGTTTAGGGTTTAGGGTTTAGGGTTTAGGGTTTAGGGTTTAGGGTTTAGGGTTTAGGGTTTAGGGTTTAGGGTATGTAAAGCCTAAGCAACCTATCAAGCCTGTAAACCCCATACACGCCATGAAGCCTTTAAGCCCTGTAAACCCTATACACCCTATAAACCCCATAAACCCTATCCTATAAACCCTAAACCCTAAACCTTAAACCCTAAACCCTAAACCCTAAAACCCTAAACCCTAGCCCTAAACCCTAAACTCCGAACCCTAACCCCTACAGTAGCCACCGCAGCCTCCACCGGCGGCTCCGCTTCGGTGCTCTGTGGCTCCGCCGGCGGCACGTAGCGGTCGTCGAAGTTGGGGTCCACGTGCCTTGGGCTCTGGCTGTGTGATTTAGGGTTTAGGGTTTAGGGTTTAGGGGTTAGGGTTTAGGGTTTAGGGTTTCGGGTTTAGTGTTTAGGGTTGAAGGTTTAGGGTTCGGGTTTGGGTTTCAGGATTCGTGGAGGAATTCGTGCGATAAAGTCCCTGGAGCTGGGATTCTGGGGTCTCCGGCACTTCTCAGGCAGGTAGACAGTCTGCAGGGATTGGGGTGCTGAAAACCGAGGGGCTGGCTTTCCGGGTTTAGGGCTAGACTGGAACATCACCTTTTTCACAGTCTGCAGGGATTGGGGTGCTGAAAACCGAGGGGCTGGCTTTCCGGGTTTAGGGCTAGACTGGAACATCACCTTTTTCATTTCGGCCGTGGGGGGGTGGGGGTGGTGGGAGGGGGTGGGTGGGGTGGGGTTGGGTGGGGGGGTGTGGGGGGGTGTGGGGGGGGGGTGGGGGGGGTGGGGTGGGGTGGGGGGGGGTGGGGGGGGGGGGGGGGGGGGGGGGTGGGGGGGGGGGGGCTGAGAGGCCTCGAAATTCACCGTTGCGGACTTTTGACTTCACCGTTGCTGACTTTTGAGGCCTCGAAATTCACCGTTGCCGACTTTTCAAACCCGAAATTCACCGTTGCCGACTTTTGAGGCCGAAAACTTCCCGTTGCCGACTTTTGAGGCCGAAAACTTCCCGTTGCCGACTTTTGAGGCGCCGAAAACTTCCCGTTGCCGACTTTTGAGGCCGAAAACTTCCACCGTTGCCGATTTTGAGGCCGAAAACTTCCCGTTGCCGACTTTTGAGGCCCCGAAAACTTCCCGTTGCCGACTTTTTGAGGCCCCGAAAACTTCCGTTGCCGGCTTTTGAGGCCGAAAACTTCCCGTTGCCGACTTTTGGGGCCCCGTTGCCGACTTTTGAGGCCGAAAACTTCCCGTTGCCGACTTTTGATTTTGAGGCCCCGAAAACTTCCCGTTGCCGACTTTTGAGGCCGAAAACTTCCCGTTGCCGACTTTTGAGGCCGAAAACTTCGCGTTGCCGACTTTTGAATTAGGGTTTAAATACCCTAAGATAGAGAGGTTTAGGGTTTAGGGTTTAGGCTTTCGGCTTTAGGGTTTAGGGTTTAGGGTTTAGTGTTTAGGGTTTAGGATTTGGAGCCTAGGGTTTAGGGCTTAGTGGAGGGTATTTGGGGGAGTTGCGGGGTAGGGTTTGGTGCCAGGTGCCAGGACAAGGGCTCATGGATGACTCGTTGCTGTTGTGCAACTTTGCTTCGATTGAGGGTTTCAATTTTTTAGGGTTTAGGGTTTCGGGTTTAGGGTTTAGGGTTTAGGGTTTCGGGTTTCGGGTTTAGGGTTTAGGGTTTAGGGTTTAGGGTCCGCCGACCCTGGCGGCGTGTTGGATGGGAAAAGGAGGTGAAAACCTCCCTCTTTCCCTCCTACCCCCCCAAAACACGGGGGGGGGGGGGGGGGTAGGGGGGGGTACCCGGGCAGCTTTTCCATGGAGGGCCAGGCCACCCACACGGCATAAACTCACGGCGGGGTCGGCGGCTTGAGCCGGAGGCTCTTAAATTTCAAGGTTTCAAGGTTTTAGGGCTTGGGGAGTGTTCTTGGGGCTTTGCGGGTTTAAGGGTCATGTCGGTCGCCACTGCCTACACTTGCCCTCGAGGCGCTTCTTGTACCACTTCTTCTTGTACTTCACGATTTGCTCCTGAAGGTTGAACCACCACCCGTCACTCTAGGGTTTAGGGGTTTGGGGAATGGTGAATTCACTAGCTCATGCTTTCTGTTGGGTGTCCCAAGATCCGACCCTGAATATCGCCCCGTCCGCCCCCCCCCCCCCCCGCCCCCCCCCCCCACCCCCCTCCCCCCCCCCCCCCCCCCCCCCCCCCCCCCGCCCCCCCCCCCCCCCCGCCCCCCCCCCCCCCGCCCCCCACCCCCCCCCCCCCCCCCCCCGAAAGAAACGAAACTTCGACGCACAGCGCCCTAAACCCTAAACCCTGAACCCTAAACCCTAAACCCCAAACCCTGAACCCTTTAAGAATCAGGGGTTTGGGGCTCAGAAGAATGTCGAGGGTTTCGGATGCTTCGGGGTCTACGGTCTTCGGCAGTTTTGGGTCTTAGCGTCCTAAACCCCACCTATAAACACCCTAAACGTCCTAGGGTTTGATTAGGTGCAGGGTTTAGGGTTTAGGGTTTGGGGTTTGGGGTTTAGGGTTTAGGGATTAGGGTTTAGGGTTTAGGGTTTAGGGTTTAGGGTTTAGGGTTTAGGGTTTAGGCTCGTGCTCCCAGAAAGCCCTCTAGCTGCCCAAGCCTGCCTGAGAAGGTGGCGGGTGCAAGCCATTCCTGACATCCAGCTCCCGCAAGCTGCAGGAGGTTTAGGGTTTAGGGTTTAGGGTTTAGGGTTTGAGGTTTGGGGCTTGGGGCTCAGGGCATTAGGGTGTAGGGGCGGGGGGGGGGTTTGGGCGTGGGTCTTAGGTATTTCGGAACTCATGGTTTTCGGGTTTTGGGCTTTGGGGCTTACGTCTTAGGGTGTTTAGGGTTTAGGGTTTAGGGCTAGGGTTTAGGGCTTAGTGTTTAGGAGTTCATGGTTTAAGGTTGACGGCTTCACTGGTCAGGACTGTTAGGAGGTTTGGGGCGTCAGGGCTAGGGTGTGACCTGAAACCCTAAACCCTAAACCCTAAACCCTAAACCCTAAACCCTGAACCCTGAGGTTCGGGCTTGGCGGGACTTAGGGTCCAACTCGCGCGGTTGAATCATTTAAGGTAGTATAGGGGGTCGGAAATTCCATGGGAATGAGGTACCCTACAGAATCCCTTAAAGGGTATATATAGGGGGATATAGGGTACCTCAATCCCTCATTCCCTACTAACCAGAGTAAGTATTCTTTTTCTACAAAAGCCCCCAAAAACCCTGTTCTCATCATTAAGGCTCCCTACAGTAAACCCCTTAAAGCTTCGTGCTGAGGATGTCCCCACACCCCCTCTGATGGAAGGTGATGTTCCTCAGGTGCAAGTGAGGCTCAAATAGGCCCGCCAGCGCTCATCGGACCAGTCATAAGACAGAAACCGCTCGTAGTCATCCGCCATGGTAGCGCGCGTGTGGCTTTGAGTTTGGGATCTTAAGGTGTTGGAACTTCAGACCTTATAAACCCTGAACCCTAAACCCTATAACCCTGCACTTCCTGCCTGTGGCTCAAGATGGGACTTATCTCTGGAGCCAGCTGATGCTTGGGGGGTTGCGGGGTTTGAAGCCCAAAGCCCAAAACGACCTAGACCCACTAAACCCCCAAAACCCCTCAACCCCGAAACCCCTAAACTCCCAAATTCCCCGCTACAACCCTAAGCCCGTAAATCTAAACCCTAAACCCTAAACCCTGACTTCCTAGACCCCTACAACCCCTAATAAAACCCCCTAGACCCGTAAATACCCCCCCAAAAACCCTAAGCCCCTAGGCCACTAAGCCCTTAAGTCCCTAGAACCCTAAGCCCCTAAGCCCCTAAGGCCCTAGAACCCTAAACCCTAAACCCTAAACCCTAAACCCCTAAACCCTAAACCCTAAACCCTACTCCCCCCGAAGCCCCTGAAAGCATCAAAAACCAAGGCCGGGCTCGGGGGTCTTAGCTTCAGGAACTCCCCGGACCAGCAAAGCGTGGTCGGCACAGGTTTAGGGCTTAGGGTTTAGGGTTTAGGGTTTAGGGTTTAGGGTTTAGGGTTTTAGGGTTTAGGGTTTAGGGTTTAGGGTTTAGGGTTTAGGGTTTAGGGTTCAGGTTTTAGGGTTTAGGGTTTAGGGTTTAGGGTTTAGGGTTTAGGGTTGAGAGGCCTCCGGCTGCCTGCTTGCAAGCTGCTGCCTTTTTTCCGACGCTCTTGCATAGATCGAATCGACAAGCGGGATGGCCTCAAAGGGGTCCCCTTGGAGGTTCATGGTGCTTATTAACGAGGGTCTAGGGTTTAGGATTTAGGATTTAGGGTTTAGGGTTTAAGGTTTAGGGTTTAGGGTTAGTGTTTAGGGTCATACCTGCACTGATAACTGTACGGCAGTTAAGGGGCTTATTCGTGTTTCATAAGTACACTCATATATTGGCTAGTAAGCACCACGGACCTCCAAGCCAGCACAAGCAACGGCAAGCAGCTGGCCATAGTGCAAGCAAACAGCTGGCCTCAAAGGGTCCAGCCGTGAGGGGCCACGACAATGTGGGTTTGGCGCAGGACTACTGAAAGGGTGTTGCAGGGTTCAGGGGTTCGCGTTCTGGGTGTAGGGTCTAGAGGGTCTACAGGGGCTAGAGGGTTGAGGCTTGGTGTTTAGGATTCGGGTTTTTGGGTTCAGGGGTGTACTTGGAGGTTCATGGTACTTCTTCACCAACTCTGAATGTACCTATAGCTGTATTTCAAGCCTTTTTAAGGCACTGAAGGGGCTTACAAGTGGTGATAAGTACATGTGTACTTGGTGAATAAGTACCATGAAACCTCCAAGTAGGGGCCCCTCCAGTTTCTTGAGCAGCTGTTGGGGCAGGGGGCTTCGCCCCTTCGCTCCCTCGTCCACCGCAGCGCGAGCTCACTTCACTCCCGGCCCTGGCGCAGGAAAACGTCCAGCATGATGCGTCCCAAGGCTGCCTCTGAAGGGGGTTTGGGGTTTGGGGTTTGGGGTTTAGGGTTTAGGGTTTAGGGTTTAGGGGTTTGGGGGGTTTAGGGTTTCGGGTTTAGGGGCTTAGGGGTTTAGGGGTTTAGGGTTTAGGGGTTTAGGGGTTTAGGGGCTTAGGGGCTTAGGGGCTTAGGGGCTTAGGGGTTTAGGGGTTTAGGGGTTTAGGGGCTTAGGGGCTTAGGGGTTTAGTGGTTTAGGGTTTCGGTGTTTAGGGGGAGGGTAAGGCCGTGAGACCTCAATGTAAACCCTAAACCCGAAACCCTAAACCCTAAACCCTGCTCTTGGGGGCTTAGAGTTTCCAGTATAGGGCACCTTCAACCTTTTCCATGCAGAGTTCGGCCTTCAAGACCTTCAAAGGGCCTCGGCTGTTGGTTGAGGGTTGAGGGTTGAGGGTTTAGGGCTAAGGGGTTTGGTGTGTGATTTTTGCGTTTTGTGTTCCATTGTGTGTTTTTTTCCCTTTTTTTGGGGGGGGTGAACCTACAACCCAGAACCTTGAACCCTGCACCCTCGGGCCCACACCCTAAACCCTAAACCCTAAACCCTAAACCCTAAACCCTAAACCCTAAACCCTAAACCCCCCCTCGGCCTTTTTGGCGGCCTCAGGCGTGGTGAAGGGTCGCCGTGTCAGCAGCCGCGGGTACTCCAAGGCCTTGCTTTGGCAGGGCAGGCCGTGGGGTTACCCTGAGCCCCTAAACCCTAAACCCTAAACCCTAAACCCTAAACCCTAAACCCTAAACCTCCAGCATAGCAAGAGGCCAACACTTTCCCAAAATGCTCTGGGGCTCCAAACCCTTCCACGGCGGGTTTTGGAGTTTTGGGTTTTGGGTTTTTAAGGCTTAGGGTTTAGGGTTTAGGGTTGAGGGTTGAGGGTTGAGGGTTGAGGGTTGAGGGTTGACGGTTGAGGGTTGAGGGTTGAGGGTTGAGGGTTGAGGGTTGAGGGTTGAGGGTTTAGGGTTTAGGGTTTAGGGCGGGCGAAAACCCCCTACAGCCCGAGTCAAACCGAAGAGACGTCAGCAAGCCTTCATAGAACTCTCCCTGATGCGTACCAAAAATGGACCCTGCTGAGGGTCTAGGGTTTAGGGTTTAGGATTTAGGGTTTAGGGTTTAGGGTTTAGGGTTTCGGGTTTAGGGTTTAGGGTTTCGGGTTTAGGGTTTAGGGTAAGAGAGCCCTTTTGCGAAGGAATGGGGATCAGGCTGCGGGGGGCAGGGCCGGCATCACCGGCGAGGAAGAGGCTGCCTGCCACAAAGGCGTGTCCGGACTTATCCCCGGACACCAAAAAGTCCTTAATCCCAAGCCCTAAACCCTAAACCCTAAACCCCAAACCCTAAACCCTAAACCCTAAACCTGTCGAAACCCTACAAACCCTAATCCCTATAGCTCCCGAAGATGCCATGCTGCGAGGAACACCCCCAAACCCCGAAACCCTGCAAACAGCGTCACACAACTGAAGACAAGCCAACCCAAAACGCAATGAACATCCGACCCTAAACCCCAAACCCTAAACCCTAAACCCGAAACCCGAAACCCTAAACCCTAAACCCGAAACCCTAAACCGAATGAAAAAAGAAGCAGTAACTCTCAAAGCAAAAACCCCGCCAGCCTCCGGGCTGCTTGATGGGGACCTTAAAGCTGCACCATGCGCATATGGGAAGGGGGGGGGGGGGGTTTCTAAAATCACTGAGAATCGTTTAGGGTTTAGGGTTTAGGGTTTAGGGTTTAGGGTTTAGGGTTTAGGGTTTAGGGTTTAGGGTTTAGGGTTTAGGGTTTAGGGATTAGGGAATCACCAGAAACGCACTCCCATGTCATTTTGGGGAGGAAAGATCTACAGCAACTTCACCCACATCTCAAAAGCCACCCAAACATGCTGGGCTGCCCGGCAAGGATGTGGCGGTGGTGGCTTGGCTCGGGGCGGCTCGGCTCTCGTTGCCCTGCTTCGACACGGCCTCGCAAAGCGTGGGCTCTCCGGGTCTCTCGTCTTTTTGGGGGGCTCTGACCCTGAAGCCCTGTGAAGATAATTGAGAGCACTGATGAGAACTGGCCAAATGTCAGTCCTTCTTAAACCCTAAACTCCAAAAACCGAAACAAACTAGAAATTCTGGAAACCCCATAGAAACCTACCCTAAACCCTAAACCGTCCCAAACCCTGCGCGCGGCCTCCGAGCTGCTCGCCGTGGACCTGAGGGGCTGCACCATGACAATGACTGGGTGGTGCGTTCTAGGGTTGAGGGTTTAGGGTTTAGGGTTTAGGGTTTAGGGTTTAGGGTTTAGGGTTTAGGGTTTAGGGTTTAAACAACCCCACCCCAGCCCTCCCAGCCCCTCCCCGGCTGTGCTGCCCGGCCGGGGTGGGCTCGCGGTGGCTCCCATGGCCTTGCCAGGTTTGGACTCTCTGGCATCCCGTGCACGGGATGTGGGCAGATCAAACAAAAGGCTGAAACGTACAAGAATACCAAACCCCGAAGCTCATCCACCCCCCACCCCATGAACGTAGGTTCAAAACACATAAACCCCATGAACCCTAAACCCTAAACCCCAAACCCTATAAACCTTAAACCACCCGTCAAACAATGAAAATCCTACGGAGCAAGAAACAAAAACTCCGAAACCAAAGTCCCTCCGGCCTCCGGGCTGCCAGATGGGGACCTGAGAGCTGCAGCATGCGGCGAGGGGGGGGGCACCAGAAACGCACACGCATGTCATTTTGGGGAGGAAAGATCTACAGCAACTTCACCCACATCCCAAAAGGCCACCCAAACATGCTGGGCTGCCCGGCAAGGATGTGGCGGTGGTGGCTTGGCTCGGGGCGGCTCGGCTCTCGTTGCCCTGCTTCGGCACGGCCTCGCAAAGCTTGGGCTCTCCGGGTCTCTCGTCTTTTTGGGGGCGCTCTGACCCCGAAGCTCTGTGAAGACAATTGAGAGCACTGATGAGAACTGGCCAAATGTCAGTCCTTCTAAACCCTAAACTCCATAAACCGAAACAAACTAGAAATTCTGGAAACCCCATAGAAACCTACCCTAAACCCTAAACCCCTAAACCCTAAACCGTCCCAAACCCTGCGCGCGGCCTCCGAGCTGCTGGCCGGGGACCTGAGGGGCGGCACAATGACTGGGTGGTGCTTTCTAGGGTTTAGGGTTTAGGGTTTAGGCTTTAGGGTTTAGGGTTTAGGGTTAGGGTTTAGGGTTTAGGGTTTGGGGTTTAGGGTTTAGGGTTTAGGGTTTAAACAACCCCACCCCAGCCCTCCCAGCCCCTCCCCGGCTGTGCTGCCCGGCTGGGATGGGCTCGCGGTGGCTCCCATGGCCTTGCCAGGCTCGGACTCTCTGGCATCTCGCGCATGGGATGTGGGCAGATCAAACAAAAGGCTGAATCGTACAAGAATACCAAACCCCGAAGCCCATCCACCGCCCACCCCATGAACGTAGCTTCAAACCACATAAACCCCATGAACCTACACCCTAAACCGCAAACCCTATAAACCTTAAACCCTAAACCCCATAAACCCTAAACCCTAAACCCGTCTAACAACGTCACACGACTGAAGACAAACAACCCAAAATGCAAATCCTACGGAGCAAGAAACAAAAACTCCGAAACCAAAGTCCCTCCGGCCTCCGGGCTGCCAGATGGGGACCTGAGAGCTGCAGCATGCGGCGAGGGGGGGTGCACCGCATGTGGGGGAGAGACGTAGAGCAACTTCACCCACATCTCAGAAGCCACCCAAACAGGCTGGGCTGCCCGGCAAGGACGTGGCGGTGGTGGCTTGGCTCGAGGCAGCTCGGCTGTGGTTGCCCTGCTTCGGCACGGCCTCGCAAAGCTTGGGCTCCCCGGCATGCCATGCATCGAGTGGGCAGGTCTCTCGTCTTTTTGGGGGGCTCTGACTCTGAACCCTAAACTCCATAAACCGAAACAAACTAGAAATTCTGGAAACCCCATAGAAACCTAGAATTCTCAGGGTCCCTACAAGCCCCGCACCCCATAGGCCCACAAACCTTAACCCCTAAACCCTGTAAACCATCTCTAAACCCCCAAACTCTAAACCCTAAACCCTAAACCCCTAAACCCTACACCCTGAACCGTCCTAACCCCTGCGCGCGGCCTCCGAGCTGATCGCCGGGGACCTGAGGGGCTGCACCATGACAATGACTGCTAGGGTTTGGGGTTTGGGGTTTAGGGTTTTGGGTTTAGGGTTTAGGGTTAAGGGTTTAGGGCTTAAACAACCCCACCCCAGCCCTCCCAGCCCCTCCCCGGCTGTGCTGCCCGGCTGGGATGGGCTCGCGGTGGCGCCCAAGGCTTCGGGTTTAGGGTTTAGGGTTTCGGGTTTGGGGTTTAGGGTTTAGGGTTTAAACAACCCCCCCCTCCTCCCCGGCACGTCCCAAAAAGCTTCCAAAACACAAAGGCCTTAAACGTGCTGTGCTGCCCGGCCGGGATGGTCTCGCGGTGGCTCTCATGGCCTGGCCAGGTTCGGACTCTCTGTGGGGGCAGAGGAAACAAAAGGCTGAAACTCGTTAGCCCAAGAAACATACAAGGATGCCAAAGCCAAAACCCCATACACCCTAAATGCCCTAAGCAACCCGAACCCCATGAACCCTAAACCCTAAACCCTAAACCCCCCACTCCATGAACGTAGATGTAAGCCCCGTGAACCCTAAGCTCGCGCACGCGTCCAATGTTCAATGAAAGGGCGGTTTAGGGTTTGGGGTTTGGGGTTTAGGGTTTAGGGTTTAGGGTTTAGGGTGCTTCTCTTGGGGGTTGCACCTGTGTCCTGGCACGCGCTGGCTGAGGCAAGGCTTGTGGCCACGTCCTGCAGTCGTAGGGGTCGCCTGAGGAGGGGCAGACAGTTTAGGTTCAGACAGGGTTCAGAGTTTAGGGTTTAGGGTTTAGGGTTTCGGGTTTCGGGTCAGGGTTTCGGGTTTCGGGTTTAGGGCTTAGGGTGTAGGGTTTAAGTTTAGGGCTTAGGGTTGCGGTTTGGGGCGTATAAAGGGCGTAGGGCTGCGGATCCCTGCGCGACTCTGAGCTCGCGGCGCCGGGGGTCATACTTCACCCAGACGCCGTTAAGCTCCACCATGGGAACAAACTGGCGCGAACACGCGGCCCTCTGACCCTAAACCCTAAACCCTAAAACCCTCAACCCTAAGCCCTGAACTCTAAAACCCTAAAGCCCTAAAACCCTAAAGCCCAAAAACCCAAAAGCCCAAAAGCCCAAAAGCCCAAAAGCCCAAAAACCCAAAAACCCAAAAACCCAAAAACCCAAAAACCCAAAAACCCAAAAACCCAAAAACCCAAAAACCCAAAACGGAGGAGCTCAAAGCAGAGCGAGGCAACCGCTGGCCTGGAATGCAGCCGGCGCGTTTCGTTGCAGGAAGCTGCGGACTTCTTTCTTCTTCTTGGGCTTGTCGGTCTCAGTGCAGCACCCGAAACCCTAAACCCTAAACCCTAAACCCTAAACCCTGAACCCTAAACCCTAAACCCTAAACCCTAAACCCTCTCAGCCCCCCACCGACTGGCCCTCTCCCTCTTCTGGCTTCAAGAAGCTGTGCTTCGGCGGTGGGGGCAAGCGCCGGCGACCCTGCAGACGCTCGCATGCTACAGGAGGGGCTTAGGGTTTAGGGTTTAGGGTTTGGGGTTTAGGGTTTGGGGTTTAGGGTTTAGGGTTTGGGGTTTAGGGTTTAGGATTTACGGTTTTGGGGTTTAGGGGTTTAGGGGTTTAGGGGTTTAGGGGTTTAGGGGTTTAGGGGTTTAGGGGTTTAGGGTCCGGGGTTAGGGGTTTGGGGGTTTAGGGGTTTAAGGTTTAGGGGTTTCGGGGTTTGGGAGGATTTAGGGGTTTAGCGTGGTTTAGGATTTAGAGGGACTTAATCAGAAGCTGGGTGCCAGAAGCATGGAAGGGTTATGAGGGGACGCTACGCGCAATCAAGACTCCCGCATGTTGCATATGCACAAGGGCAAGTGTCCGAGTCAATGAATGGAAGCGCTCTCGCGTCGAAGCCCTAAACCCTAAACCCTAAACCCTAAACCCTAAACCCTAAACCCATCTCTGCAAGCTCAGGAAGCCGCGGTGAGGATGTAGCGCAGGTCATCGCCTCATCGTCGCTGGAAAGGAACTTCAGGTCGAGGGTCGAGGGTTGAGGGCTTGGGTTTTAGGGTTTAGGGTTTAGGGTTTAGGGTTCAGGGTTTAGGGTTTAGGGTTTAGGGTTTAGGGCTTAGGGCTTAGGGCTTAGGGCTTAGGGATTATTAGGGTTCAGAGTTTAGGGTTTAGGGCTTAGGGTTTAGGGTTTAGGCTGGTTTAGAGTTAAGGTTTAGGGTTTGGGGTTTAGGGTTGGGCTTTTAGGGTGATTTAGGGTTTAAGGTTTAGGCTTCCCAAGACCCTTAGGGTTTGGGGTTTAGTGTTTAGGGTTGAGGGTTTAGGGTTTAAGGTTAGGGTTTGGGGTTTAGGGTTTGGCTTTTAGGGTTTGGGGTTCAGGGTTTGGCTCGAGGTAGACCAGCTGCCTCTCCCTTTGAGAGAAGCCATGTGCAGCAAGAAAGTCACGACACAAATTGGTGAACGTAGACCCCGTAATTCTGAACCCCTAACCCTGAACTCAGAACCCTCAACCCTAAACCCTAAACCCCAAACCCTAAACCCGGAACCCCATGCTCCTCAAACCTGCCCGGGGCCGGCACAGAACATCTTGGTCCCCTCGAAACACGAGGCCTGAGGGGTGCCAAGAAAAAGGATTTTTCTCGCCGTAGCAACAAGAATCTGGGTTTAGGAATTAGCTTTAGGAAGGGGCTCTAGGGTTTATGGAGTGTAGGGGTTTAGGGTTGCGGGTTTAAGGGATATAGGGGTTAGGTCTTAGGGCTTCAATTCGTGAAACACAGTTCCTGATCGGAAACATGGAGAATAACCTGTAGGCTTGACTGTTCGGCCCAGAAGCCTCATGGTTTAGGGTTTAGGGTTTCATTAGGGTTTAGGGTTTAGGGGGGTCCCTTCCCCAACCGGAAATTTGCTGCATACCTCCCTCCTAGGATGCACGCTTCACACGGTGTTGGGCCAGCTCGGCTAGGCGACGCGCTCAGGCGTTTACACTTCTGATAAGGCCCCATTGGTAAAAGTCAGGGTTCTATCCAAAAATGATAACAAGAATAATAATCAGCAAAGTGCGCAAGATTGAACCAACATCAAAGAACCCAGAAGCACCCCAAAAGCGCACCAAAGCCCCTCGCGGCCCACTTTTCCTCTCTCATGGGTTGGCATGGCGCACTGTGCTTGATGCAAGCTGCTCGACCACTGAGTGGCACCGCCTGAATTGGTTCAGCACCAAAGCATGCTGCGCCAAACAGCCACGAGCGCCGATGTCAAGTACAGCTCGAGCTGCTGCTGCAAGAGTGCACGAAGCCACGTTGGCACGTGTCTGCGTTTGCATGCTACAGGAGCCCGGTCATGCACCTCCCATGATGTGTTGGCTAACATATCTTCTCTTCAGGATGCTCGCTGGGATGATTGCAGAAGCCACACCTGTACAAACTGTGGCAAAAAAGGCGTCAATCAACTCCCAAAATCAAACCGTCAAGCTCGCCGCTTCACTATGCTGCACTTACTCTGACAGAGCCCTCCTTGCATCACGGCTGCTCACATAGTCAAGCGCCCGATCGAGGTCGCCCTCGCTGACGCCTTCTGGAAGTGCTCGGTGCGAGTACACTGGGAACTTCTTCTTGGCCATCCCAACGAACTTCCGGACCATCTCAGGCGATTCTGATGTCTCTTCTTGGCAGTCCTCCTTGTCACCACAGTAGTCCCAATGGTACATGCTGCCATCCTCATACGTGGATGTCGCACACCACAGCAAGCCTTTCGCAGCCGTAGTGCATCGAGAGTAATGGATGCCCTTGTACCAAAAAGGGAAGACGCAAAGAGGTCCATTAACAGATCGTGTGGTGCACCGCTTTGTAGGACCTGGGGCCGTCTCATACACTGGCTCCTCGATTTCTTCATAGTGGTCCACAACTTTTTTCATGTCAAAGTCGACCCCATAAACCATCAAAGCAACTGATACCACGCCATTCGACTGCGCGCTCTGCAGGCGGTGTCGATACATGTGCCCCACGGAGCTGCGGCCATCAAGACTGAAGTCTTTCTTGTCAGCTGATGCTTGTAGGTCGAACAGCAGGGAGCCTAAAATCTTCTCAACAACTGGCTCTGGAAATCCAACCAGCTTGGCACGAGCACTGGCTTCCAAGTCCGCAGCATTGCAGGAAAACTTCCATGCACCATGCTGCACGTGAAACCTCTCGCTGTCAAGCTTTGAGATTACGGCCTCGTGATCGACAGCTTCTTGGCGGGTTTGGTTGAGGACACCATCAAGAGTCTTTTGCATGATTTCCGCTGGCTGCTTCAGCTTTGCCAGATGGCGGTTCTCGGCGTCCAAAATTTCTTGCTGCTGGACTTTCAACAGCCTGACCTTTGGATCCTCGCGGAAGCTGCAAGCAAGTGAAGCCCCTCCCACTAGCAGAAGTACAAGCGTGCAGCCCAGCAATACATGTGGAGGACGCCACTTCAATGATTGCCCTGGCTGCAGATCGCACTGCAGATCTGCATCTTGCATCTTTGATCCCTTCAGCTGCTCCCTCTCCCTTCGACCCGGACGCCGCTTCTTTGGGCCTTCTTGCACATCCGGCGTCCCGCTCATCTGGGCATCCTGCACGCCGCTCTCAAGCGGCTCCGGCGCCTCTGCCTGCATGCTGACCTCGGACGTCGACATCTGCAACCCAGCCGAAGACTCCACGCCTTGGCAGCAGGGATTGGGCTCGCAGCGCGCGAGCGGCGCCGGGGCAACTCGGAGTCGGTCTTCGGCCCGTCGTCCTCCTGCGCTGGCTCCGCGACGTCAATGAAGGTGTTCTTGACGGCAGTGACAACTGACCACTGCTGCATCGCTGGATGTGATCTTAGATGGGAGCTAGGAGACAGCAGGGGGGGGGGGCTTGAGAAGCAGAGCTCGCGGAACGCAAGCTGGCCAAGACACGGCTCGCAGAATCTCACGACGCACGAGGTCCCAACCCAGCAACCATCAGGAGAAGGAAGTGGCCCATCGGAACACGAGGCCTCGGTTGTATCACGAGTTGCTCCACACGAGGGCTCGTCCTAGGGGGCTTGGAGCCTCGGACATGGACTTGCTTTCCATGCAGGGGCGGGCGTTTCTTTTACAGAGGCTACCCTCCAGCGTTGCGGCGAAGCTGGCTTAGAACCAACATGAACCCTAGTCAGCCAGACTGGAAGATGAGGCTGCTGCACTGGGCACCATGGCTGCGCGAGAGTGCTTGCGCACAGGTCCACCAGCTTTGATTTTCGAAACGTTCCTGCACCCACTGTACGCCCTAAGCCATGTGCAGCTAGTTTGCAGATACCTGCGGGCTTGTTCGATCACTGAGTGGCTGAGGCTACCAGGCGTGGGGGCTTCTAGGGTTGCAGGTTTAGGGTTTAGGGTTTAGGGCTTAGGGCTTAGGGCTTAGGGTTGAGGGTTTTGGGTTTAGGGTTTAGGGTTTAAGGGGAATGGTTGTGGTCTGGAGGCAACTGCCCGGAGGAGCGTCGGACGTGGACTCTGGTCTTTGGGACTTTTCCGCATGCGACCCCGCATCTGCTAGGGAGTCCCGACTGTCTGCTTAAGAGCCCCCCCAAGAAATGGAAAACATTCTTCTTTCTAAGGGCAATCTAGGGATGATTATTGTAATCTTTTCTGGGTTCTCAAGCAAATAGAAGGGACCAGTGACCATTGTCACCGTCGGAAGAACTTAGTCAAGGGGCAGCATCCACATTTCTTGGAGCTCGCGGCCAAGACAAGAACCGCAGTTCTGCGATTACCAACCTGATCCGCACAAGCACTTGCACTCGCAGTTAGCGATGCGCAACCTAGGCAGAATTCAGGGCGACGCTGTTGTTCACACCACCTGGGTAGCCCAGCAGCTTTATTTATGAGAAGGGCACCCCTTTTTTGGGGTTGGTTACTTTTCTAAACGAACCCGGAACCAATAAAAGGGTAACCCTAAACCCTAAACCCTAAACCCCTTTTCCCTGGGCTACCAAGCCACTTGATGCGGTGCTGTAGCCCAGCGCCGCAGCAACGTGCGACGCCTTTTCGACGATCGCGGACACATCCTGGGCATGAGATTGGCCAGCTGCAAGCAACGAAACACCCCCGGTCCGAAAGAACATATAACTGCTCATTTTTTAGTACACATATATGTAGATATACACATATATATGTATGTATATACATATACATGTATATATATATATATATATACATATACATATAAAAATATATATGATTATGTCAGTTTATATTGGTTTTCATGCCAAGGAGCAAGGACAGTTTGGTCCAAGACGTCGCTAAGAGTGTGCTTCGGCATGCTGTTCAGGCACTCGACCTTGAGGTTTAGGGTTTAGGGTTTGGGGTTTAGGGTTTAGGGTTTGGGGTTTAGGGTTTAGGGTTTAGGGTTTAGGGTTTAGGGTTTAGCGTTTAGGGCTTAGGGTTTAGGGTTTCGGGTTTCGGGTTTGGGGTTTGGGGTTTGGGGTTTAGGGTTTAGGGTTTATGGGGGCCCGACATCAGAAGAAATTGCCAGGGCACTCCTATTCGGGGTGCTCAAACCTATCGAACCCCACATCCTGCACTCTGAGTGTTGGAGAACCCTAAACCCTAAACCCTAAACTCAAAACCCTAAACCCTAAACCCTAAACCGTGCACAGAGCCACCGTTGAAGGCCTTGCGCGTCAGGGCTAGGGATCGTTGTATGCACTTGCGGTCTGCAAGGAAGGCCAGAAAACTGAGCTTGGGGCGAAGAGCCTGGCATATGTAGAACACAACCTTGGGATTAGGGTTTAGGGTTTAGGGTTTAGGGTTCAAGGTTTCAGGGTTGAGGGTTTAGGGTTTAGGGTTTACGGTTTAGGGTTTGGGGTTTGGGGTTTAGGGTTTCGGGTTTAGGGTTTAGGGTTGAAAAGTCTGGGCATTCTGATGTCCAGGCAGCAGTCTCGGTGCAGGGTGTGCCGACATCTCCTGGGCCGGCGGAGGAGTGACAGTAATCCGATGGCGTCTAAACCCCAAACCCTAAACCCCAAACCCATAAACCCAGAAGCCATAAACCCATAAACCCTAAACCCATAAACCCAGAAGCCATAAACCCATAAACCCTAAACCCATGAACCCAGAAACCCGGGTTTGGGGTTCAGGGCTTAAGGCTTTTGTTAGGGGCTCATGGTTTCGGGCGTGACGCACCCCAGCGCCTCTAAGTCTTCCAGGCCGCTAGCCCCAAAGGCCCCAAACCGTTAACCCCGAAGTCCCTCACAGGGTTTTGGCTTTAGGGTTGGGGGTTTAGGGTTGGGGGTTTAGGGTGTAGGGTTTAGGGTTTAGGGTTTAGGGTCTAGGGTTGAGGGGTTTGGAGTTTAGGGGTTAGGGCTTAATTAGGGTTGAGGGTTGAGGGGTTTGGGTTTTTTAGATTTGGGGTTTAGGGTCTGGGGCTTAGGGCTTCTAACCCCTGAACCCCTAAACCTCCATTCTAGGGGCGTTTACAGCCCCCCTAGTCACGAATCCTCAGCAGGCTTGCAAGACAAAAGGTCCTTGCTGAAAATCGCCGTGTCTACGGAAATGATCTCTCCTCGGCTTGGTGCGGGCTTCACGCTTCCCAAGCCCCGTAGTGTCTAGGGTTTAGGGTTTAGGGTTGGTTTGGGGTTTAGGGTTTAGGGTTTAAGGTTTAGGGTTTAGGGTTTAGGGTTTAGGGTTTAGGGTTTAGGGCCGTTTAGGGTTTAGGGTTTAGTGTCTCCCACAACCCTTAACTCCCCAAACTCGAAACCCCCCAACAAAACCCTAGAGAGCCCTCCTAACCCCCTAAATCCCTTAACCCTCAAACTCCTAAACCCCTAAACCCTGGTAAACCCTCGTAAACCCTAAGCCCTAGAAAGCCCCTAAACCCTTAACCCCAAACCCTAGTAAACCCCTAAACCCCCAGTCCCAAAGTAAACCCCAAGTAACCCCAAGTAAAACCCTGGGTAAACCCTAAGTAAACCTCTAAACCCTAGTCAACCCTAAACCCTAAACCCTAAACCCCAGACCCTAAACCCTAAACCCTAAACCCTAAATCCCTAAAACCCTAAACCCCTAAAACCCTAAACCGCCTAAGCCTGACTGACGCCCAGCTTCCCGGCTTCTCTGCTTCGCAGACGCCGAGATGTTTCCACGTAACCCAAAGGGCCGGCTCTGAGATCCTCGGCTTTGGGTCGACTTCATAGGGTTTAGGGTTTAGGGTTTAGGGTTTAGGGTTTAGGGTTTAGGGTTTAGGGTTTAGGGTTTAGGGTTTAGGGTTTAGGGTTTAGGGTTTAGGGTTTAGGGTTTAGGGTTTAGGGTTCAGGGGTACCGCTACTTCGGGAAATGCTCATCTAGCGCAGTTCGAGCTCAGCAAGGTTTGGGATGCAAAGGACCTCCTCCGAAAAAGGCACAGACTGCAGCCCTAAACCCTTAACCCTAGCCCTAAACCCTAAACCCTAAACCCTAACCCTAAACCCTGACCCTAAACCCTAAACCCAACCCTGAACCCTAAACCATAAACCAGGTGGGGGGGGCGGGGTACAACTTAAGTCTTAGTCTTAGGGAGTATTGAGCTCTTCCTACAAGAGGCTAAGGAATACGCGATCACCAGAAGCCTAGATGAATTGTGGACCCTAAACCCTAAACCCTAAACCCTAAACCCTAAACCCGAAACCCTAAACCCTAAACCCTAAACCACCCTAAACCCTAAACCCTCAACCCTAAACACTACCAAAAGAGCCTGGAATTTACGTCAACCAACGCCCAAAAGCGTTTGCAAGCTGGGCGGCCACTGTTTGGAGTGGAGCTTGTTGGAAGTCTCGTCCGTCTCTCGAATGTGCGTGTACCTCAGTACCGCGTGCTTGGAGGTTCATGGTACTTACTAACCAATTATAGCTGCACTATAACCTTATTAGGGCACAAAAGGGGCTCATAAGTGGGGTTATAAGTACACTCATTATTGGTTAACCCTAAACCCCGAAACCCTAAGCCCTAAGCCCTAAGCCCCGAAACCCTAAACCCTAAACCCTAAACCCCAAGAACACCCCTCTCAGGTTACCATGAACACCCAAGTACTTGGGCCGTGTCTGCAACACTGCTGCTCTTTAAGGCCTCCTTCCGGGGCGCGAAGGCACTTATGCTATAAACCCTAAACCCTGAACCCCAACCCTAAATCCTAAACCCTAAACCCTAAACCCTAAACCCTCAACGGCCCTAAACCCTAAACCCTAACCCTAAACCCCAAACCCCAAACCCCAAACCCCAAACCCCAAACCCTAAACCCTACCCCCCCCCCCCAAAAAATAATAATAATAATAATAATCGTAATAATAATAATAAGAAAAATGTCGCCCAAGGAACTCGAGGATCAGCGCAGCGCTCACGAAGTAGACCTGGCTGCACTCCTCCCCGGCCTCGAAGACGATGTCCCCACTGCCCAGGACCTTCCTTGGGAGTTTGGGAGTCTGGACGTCCAGGGTTCGGGGTTTAGGGTTTAGGGTTTAGGGTTTAGGGTTTTGGGTTTTGGGTTTTGGGTTTTGGGTTTTGGGTTCGATCAATACCCACGGTTTTTACCAGGTTCGGGGGGGATACGGAGGCTCACAATCTTGGTGAGGTGGGATTTCATGGCCTTGAACACAAGAAGTGGGTTTCTAGCATGTAGGGCTAAGGGGCTGGTGTTCTGATTTGGAGGTTTAGGGTGTTCTTTTTTGCCATTCTTGTACGTTTCGGCCATCTGCCCCAAGCGACTCTTTAATGGCCGTACTGCAGAGCTTGTGCATGAAGTTCGGCATGTGGGTACCTGCTCGCGCAACTGGCTGTCCAGCAACCAGCGCCGGAAGTCCCAAAACTCCTAAAACCTTTGAACCTTAAGCCACTAACCCCCAAGCCCTTAAGCCACTGATGCCTAAAGAGGCCTCTTTAGGCCTTAAACCCTAAAACCCCCAAACCCATAAACCGCTACAAGAAGCGCTCACAAACTTCCCCCCCCAGCAGAGCACAAATCTTGGCAAAGAAGGGGTGCGCGCGCAGCCACTGTACCTGCCCAAAGCGATGAAGCTGACAAAACCCTAAACCCTAAACCCTAAACCCTAAACCCTAAACCCTAAACCCTAAACCCCAAACCCTAAACCGTCCTTTCAGCCCTTGAAGCCCCTTGAAGCCTAACGCCCGGACAGGCCATAATGGTGTACTGCAGCTCGTTGCGGAGCGGCTGCGACCTTGCCATTCCCATCTTCACCCCGGAGTTCGGTAGGGCTCAGGGCTTGGGATTTAGGGTAAATTTAGGGTTCAGGGTTTAGGGTTTAGGGTTTAGGGTTTAGGGTGTAGGGTTTAGGGTTTAGGGTTTAGGGTTTAGGGTTTAGGGTGTCGGCCGGGTTTACGGTTTAGGACTTGGGGCTTTGGTGGGGGGAGCTTCCGAGCTTGGAGTTCTTTGGGCTCTGCATGGACTTCCCATGCACCTATATGAGTCCCCTAGACCCCGGAGTAACCTAGGAATTTCAAAGAGGGTGCCCTTCTTGGGGTTGAAAAAGGGACCATAAGGGAGCCCAAACCCAAATAAAGGGAATAGGGGCCTACTCTGGGTCCGAGGCCCCCCCCCCCTAAGCCCCCAAAGGATCGCCTCTGTGCCCTTTGCATCTGCCCCAGGCGCGGGTCGTGGACCCTAAAGCCCTAAAACCCTAAAACCCTAAAACCCTAAAACCCTAAAACCCTAAAACCCTAAAACCCTAAAACCCTAAAACCCTAAAATCCTAAAACCCTAAACCACCCCACCACTGCGCCGAGCCGCAGCTTCGTGAGATGCGCCACCATGGCCGGCTGGACGTGCTCTGCCTCCTGACACAAAAGGGGCGCTGCGCCGATTGCTTCCTTCCTTCCTTCCTTCCTTGATTCCTTGCTTCCTTGCTTCCTTGCTTCCTTGCTTCCTTGCTTCCTTGCTTCCTTGCTTCCTTGCTTCCTTGCTTCTTTGCTTCCTTCCTTCCTTGCTTCCTTTCCTTCCTTCCTTCCTTCCTTCCTTCCTCTGCACATAGTCCCCGAAGAGACCCCCCAAGGGGCGTGCACAAGCAGTCTGTGTGTGATTGCGCAGCGTACCGTCTGGAGCGAAGGACACCCCCCCCCCCCCAGCTAGCTCGCTCGCTCGCTCTCTCTCTCTCTCTCTCTCTCTCTCGCACTCTGGCTCTCTCTCTCTCTCTCGCGCTCTCCTCTCTCTCTCTCTCTCTCTCTCGCTCACTCTCTCGCTCACTCTCGCTCTCGCTTTCGCTCCCGCTCTCGCTCTCGCTCTCGCTCTCTCTCTCTCTCTCTTTCTCTCTCTCTCTCTCTCTCTCTCTCTCTCTCTCTCTCTCTCTCTCTCTCGCTCTCTTTCCCTTCAGGCTTTAGGGTCTAGGGTCTAGGGCTTAAGGTTTCGGGTTCAGGGTTCAGGGTTCCGGGTTCCGGATTCAGGGTTCAGGGTTCAGGGTTTCGGGTTTAGGGTTTAGGGTTTAGGGTTCAGGTTTGTGCTTCAGATAGCCTTGTTTGTTTGATACTCCAGGAACTTCTCGATGCGGAACTGCAGCTCCTCACGCACCAAAATCGTATTTAGGGTTTAGGGTTTCGGGTTTAGGGCTTAGGGTTTAGGGTTTAGGGTTGAGAGTTTAGGGTTTAGGGTGTAGGGTTTAGGGTTTAGGGTTCTGAGTACCACGATCCTTGCCCACGCCGTTCTGCTTCAAGTAGCGCCGCAGGATCCAGAACTGCTTCATGTGATTGCTCCGCCTCATACCCTAAACCCTAAACCCTAAACCCTAAACCCTCATGTCGGCGTCTTGTCTTCAGCCAGAGGCTCTACGAACATGCCGAATGCTTACGCCCTAAACCCTAAACCCTAAACCCTAAACCCTAAACCCTAAACCCTAAACCCTAAACCTGGGGCAAGCGCAAGTTCTGCAGCTGGGTCATGGAGGCGGTCACGCCTGCAAGCGGAGCTGCTGGCAGCTGTTAGGGTTTTAGGGTTTAGGGTTTAGGGTTTAGGGTTTAGGGTTTAGGGTCTTAGGGTCTTAGGGTTTTGGGGTTTCAGGGTTTGAGGGTTTTAGGGTTTGGGGTTTGGGGTTTCGGGTTTCTAAACGCATCCAACACCCCCCCCCCCCCCCCCCCCCCAAAGTGCCTCCCACGATGGAGGAGAAGGCCACCATGGCGAAGAAGAGGACGGCAATGGAGAAGATCCGCTCATAGACCTCCGCTCAAACCTACACCTTGGGATGTTCCCCCTTATACTAGGGTTTAGGGTTTGGGGTTTAGGGTTTAGGGTTAGGGTTTAGGGTATACCTTGGTATGTTCCCCGTTCTGAAAAAGTCCTTAGTAGGGATTATAATAAGGGGGGGTACTATGATCCCTATTAGAAGGGGGCAACATCCCAAGGCTTACTTGGAGGTTCATGGTACTTTTTAACCAATTGTAGCTGTACGTATATCCCCACTGAGGTTATAAGTATAGCTATAAGTACAGCTATGAATGGTTAATAGGTACCACGAACCTCCAAGCAAACCTTGGGAGGTTCCCCCTTATCCTACCAGACCTTAATAGCCACCCCCCCCCCCCAATGTTCTCCCGATTAAGGACTGTTAGTATAAGCGGGAACATCCCAACCCTAAACCCGAAACCAGTGAGATGACGGCGAGCTAAAGTCAGTAGCAAGTCAATGGAGCTTCTGTGCATTAACATTCTGCACCGGTGTCTACTCCAGTAGAATCCACATAATTCTGAACCTTCTATGGTCCCCCCAAAGAGTTTCGGGTTTGGGGTGTAGGGTGTAAGGGGGCAATTACGGACCTCTGTGGTGCCAATAAAAGGCCCACAAGTCAGACCAAAACTGTAGCAGGGCGACGTTGGTGGCACTCACGTTCATGGAGGCGGGCGTGAACTGCGTCAGCGCCTGGCGCCGGAATAGAAGGGCTGCCCGAGCACTACTAGGCACCAACATCTCCCGCCCCCCGAGATTCTAAGGAGCAAAAAACAAAACCGTAAGAGCTAAACCCTCCGAAAACCCTAAACCCTCATCCGGCCACAAAAATGGCACCACCGAGCCCGAAATTCCTGAAGAGGCTTAGACTTCTCTGCCCCAAACCCCTCAACCCTAAACCCTACACCCTAAACCCTACACCCGAAACCCTAAACCCTAAACCCTAAACCCCTCAATCCTAAGCCGTAAACCTGCCAGGAAGCTTCTAAGCTTCAGAAGGCCCTAGGGCATCGATGGTGTCGGGTTGAGGCTTTGGCCGTTTAGGACCCTAAACCCTAAACCCTAAACCCTAAACCCTAAACTTTTAGGCTACTGGGCTCCCAGCCCAGTGAAGTGATGTGAAGTACTTGTAGGTCTGGTCCTGCGAGTTTCGGGTTTAGGGTGTAGGGTTTAGGGTTTAGGGTTTAGGGTCTCGTGGTTACGAGTCGTTTTTGGTGGCTTGGTTTAGGTCTAGGGTCTAGGATCTCGGGTCTAGGGTTTAGGGTTTAGGGTTTCGGGTTTAGGGTTTAGGGTCTAGGGTTTAGGGTTTGTTTCGGGCTTGGGGTTTGGGGTTTGGGGTTTAGGGTTCAAGGATAAGGGATTGTAGGCCGTAGGTTGGCTGGCTGGAGGCATGCTGCGTTGGGTTTAGGGTCTAGGGTTTGGGGTTTAGGGTTTAGGGTTTAGGGTTTAGGGTTTAGGGTTTAGGGTTTAGGGTTTAGGGTTTAGGGTTTAGGGTTTAGGGTTTAGGGTTTAGGGTTTAGGGTTTAGGGTACCGGGTTTGGGGTTTGGGGTTTAGAGTTTGGATCTGACATGATCTGACTCTGCAAGCACAACCCGTCCTCGTTCTCGTAGCGCCCCTCTGAAATCCTTGCGTGGCCGACATGGGGGGTGACGTGTTCTAGGCTGGAGGAGGGGGGGTTTTCGAGGGTTTTCTTGCTGGTGCCGTGCGCGCTTCCTTGGGAGAGACTAGGGTTCAGGGTTTGCGGTTGAGGGTCTTCGGGTTTGGGGGTGTAGCGTCTAGGGTTGCGAGTGGGTACCTTCAGTTCGGGAAGCCGTGAGGGGAGTCGCCTTTTGGGGTTGAGCTGAGCGTCCAGTTGACCATGTTAACCGCACTCGTCTCCTTGCCGATCAGGTACCACCTGGCGTGCGGAGGAAGCCGAAGCCCCCAACCCCTAGACCCTAAGCGCCAAACCCTAAACCCTAAACCCTATTCCTAAACCCCAAACCCTAAACCCTAGACCCCAACAGCCCTAGATGAGCGCATTCACGGCTCGACCTTGCCACCTAAAGGCCTAAATCCTGGTCGCACCACGCGTGGCGCGGCGAAGCTGGGGCGGCGACAGGCACGCAATGACGTGGTTTAGGAGCACGATGAAGAACCTTGGTTCGTAGGTCAGGGTTGAGGGTTTAGGGTTTAGGGTTTGGGGTTTAGGGTTTGGGGTTTAGGTTCTGATTCTGGGGTTTAGGGTTTAGGAGTTCGGGTTGGCTTCTGATGGCGTTTAGGCTTTATCCCCAAACTCCTGCCCATCCGGTGCTGTTTTTCTCAGTGAAACAAACAGAAACCTCAGACTTTAGGGTTTAAGGTTTAGGGGTTTAGGGGTTTGTGGCATGGACCTTTAGGGTCTATTTGGCACGCCCCTTTGTTTACTATTTACAAAACTTCTTGAAAGTAGTAGTGGTAGTAGTAGTAGTAGTAGTAGTAGTAGTAGTAGTAGTAGTAAATGTAGATCCAGCCGGCCAACAGCCAGACTTAGGCGAGCACCCTCGCTTCGCGTTTCCCGTGACTTGGTAGGGGCCAGAGGTTTGTCGTATGTCCCCTCCCTTCGTCCCTTCGTTTTGTAAGGGTTTTGTAAGGGCTTTGGAGGTTTGTGTGCTTCCCCTTTCTCGTTCTTATAGGTTTTGGGGGAGCATCAAAATGATTAACATATATGATGTGTTTCCGTGCTCGTATTATGAGGGCTAGTGCCTGCCCTAGAGGTTTGTCGTATGTCCCCCCGCTTCGTGTTCCTGTGATTTGGTAGGGGGCTAAAGGTTTGTCGTGTGTCCCCTCCCTTCGTCCCTTCGTGTTGTAAGGGTTTTGGGAGGGTCCTGGAGGTTTGTCGTATGTCCCCTTTGTTCGTGCTTGTAGGGTCTGGGGAGTGTGTAGATGATAATCACATATCATGTGCTTCCGTGCTCGTATTATGAGGGGCTAGTGATTGGCCTGGAGGTTTGTCAGATGACGCCCCCGCTTCGTGATCCTGTGATTTGGTAGGGGCCTAAAGGTTTGTAGTGTGTCTCCTCCCTTCATTCCTTCCTATTGTAAGGGTTCTGTGAGGGCCCTGGAGGTTTGTCGTATGTCCCCTTTCTTCTTGCTTGTAGGGGTTGGGGAGCATCTAGATGATAGAGGTTTGTCGTATGTCGTCTCCCTTCGTCCCTTCGTGTTGTAAGGGTTTTGTGAGGGCCCTGAAGGTCTAGGGCAGTTACTAGCGCCTCATAGTACGAGCACGGAAGCAAATGATAATGACAATCATCTAGACGCTGCCCAAATCCTACAAGCACGAAGAAAGGGGACATACGGTAAATTTGCAGGGCCCTCACAAAACCCTTACAACAAGAAGGGACGAAGGAAGGGCACATACGACAAACCTCTAGGACCCTCACGAAACCCTTACAACACGAAGGGACGAAGGGATTGTATCTAATTTCGTATATGGTAAAATGACATACGACAAATCTCCAGGACCCTAGCAGATCACATGAACACGAAGCAGGGAGACATAAAACAAACCTCTAGGGCAGTCACTAGCCCCTCATAATACGAGCACGGAAGCAAATCATATATGATAATCATCTAGACGCTCCCCACGCCCTACAAGCACGAAGAAAGGAGACATACGATAAATCTTCCAGGTCCAACAAAACCCTTGCAACTCAAAGGGACGAAGGGAGGGGGCACACGACAAACCTCTTTAGGCCCCTACCACATCGCAGGAACAGAAAGCGGCGGGACATACGACAAACCTCTATGACAAACACCAGCCCCTCATAATACGAGCACGGAAGCAAATGATATATGACAGTTTTCTAGAAGATCCCCAAACCCTCTAAGAAGAAAGAAAGGTGACATACGACAAACCCTCCCCCAACAAAGCAATTTCAACACGAAGGGACGAAAGGAGGGGACATTCGACAAATATCTGGCCCCTACCAAATCTCAGGAACACTAAGCGTGGGGACATACGACAAATCTCCAAGGGCCCTCAGAAAAATTTTATCAGCCTTACAACACGAAGGGACGAAGGCAGGGGACATACGACAAACCTGTAGATCACAGGAACAAGGAAGCGGGGGAGGGGGCATACGACAAACCCCTAGGGCAGTCACTAGCCCCTCACAATACGAGCACGGAATCAAATTATATGTCAGTCGTCTAGACGCTCCCCAAACCCTACAAGTGAGAAGAAAGGGGACACACGGCAATTTTGCAGGGCTTTCACAAAACCCTTGCAACACGAAAGGACGAAGCAAGGGAACGTATGACAAACCTCTAAGCCCCTACCAAATCACAGGACCAAGGAAACAGGGGGGACAAATGACAAACCTCTAGGACAGCCACTAGCCCCTCATAGTTTGAGCACGGAAGCAAATCATATATGACGATCATCTAGACTCTAGACGCTCCCCCAAACCCTACAAGCTCGAAGAAAGTGGATATACGACTAGCGTCCAGGGCCCTCACAAAACCCTTACCACCCATACAACGCGAAGGGACGAAGGAAGGGGACATACGACAAACCTCTAGGGCAGTCAGTAACCCCACATAGTACGAGCACGGAAGCAAATCATGTATGGTAATCATCTCGACGCTCCTCAAACTCTCCAAGCACGAAGAAAGGGGACACACGACAAACCTTCAAGGCCCAACAAAACCCCTACAACACGAAGGGCGAAAGGAGGGGACATACGACAAAGCTCTAAGCCCCTACCAAATCTCAGGAACAGGAATCGGGGGGACATACGACAAACCTCTAGGGCAATCACTAGCCCCTCACAATACGAGCACGGAATCAAATTATATGTCAGTCGTCTAGACGCTCCCCAAACCCTACAAGTGAGAAGAAAGGGGACACACGGCAAATTTGCAGGGCTCTCACAAAACCCTTGCAACACGAAAGGACGAAGCGAGGGAACGTATGACAAACCTCTAAGCCCCTCCCAAATCACAGGACCAAGGAAACGGGGGGGACAAATGACAAACCTCTAGGACAGCCACTAGCCCCTCATAGTTTGAGCACGGAAGCAGATCATATATGACGATCATCTAGACTCTAGACGCTCCCTCCAAACCCTACAAGCTCGAAGAAAGTGGATATACGACTAGCCTCCAGGGCCCTCACAAAACCCTTACCACCCATACAACGCGAAGGGACGAAGGAAGGAGACATATGACAAACCTCTAGGGCAGTCACTAACCCCACATAGTACGAGCACGGAAGCAAATGATGTATGGTAATCATCTCGACACTCCTCAATTCTCCAAGCTCGAAGAAAGGGGACACACGACAAGCCTTCAAGGCCCAACAAAACCCCTACAACACGAAGGGGCGAAAGGAGGGGACATACGACAAAGCTCTAGGCCCCTACCAAATCTCAGGAACAAGAATCGGGAGGACATACGACAAACCTCTAGGGCGATCACTAGCGAGCACGGAATCGAATTATATATATATATATGCTACCCCCCCCCCCAGCGACCTACCCTTTTTCGGCCTTTTTAGGCCTTTTTAACAAAATATAACAAAGAAGGCCCAAAAGTCGCGTAGTTAATCACCGGGTATTGAAGGACAGTTACTGGGACACCCACCTCACAGACCCCGATAAGCCAGCATTGGAAGAATCTACATTTTGAATCTGAAGCGGACAAT